TTTGTCATCTTGTGAATCTTATTAATTCACAATGGAATGAATAAAAGTTGTAAAGTTGTGTTTAAACTAAAAAACAGAATAAAAGCAGGTTGTATTTGTCTGGATGTCGTACTGTAAAAATAAAACTGATGGTAGGAGTGTTATGTCAGTATTCAGCAGTATTCTAATGGTGTGCATGATACTTCAAGTGCCTTGCTAATTTAACTATGCCATAATCATTGAGATGGACATTATCCTCTCCATAACTACTAAAAAATGACGATTTTCTAAAGCCTTTCTTATCACTAAACAAGAAACGATTTGTCTCGGTTGAGACCAGTTTTACATAGGTGTATTTTCTTTGCAGATTTGATATACACTCATTGATATCAGTTATAACCTTGTTTCTGGAGAAACTCTCCCGAGGTAATAAGTTAACAATTTTAATATCAGCTCCACGTGCCCACTTGTGAAGGAAAAGTACAAGTTTTTCAATACAATTGTTTGTAAAGTCAAGAGCTCTAGCATCACCAGAAAAACTATCAGGGCACAGAAGTTTAGTCCTCATGTTGCGAGGGCTGTTCAGGATAGAGTCCACGTCATTTGTACCACACATAAGTACAATGCTTTTCACATTATTGGTATTAAGAGTGTCTTTTCTTACATCTGATTGAAACCGTTCATTGATTGCATTGGCTGTGGCACCAGGGTAGCTGAATACATGTGCCTCATGATGTTTGGACGATAGCTTTTCTCCCTCTAATTTGGAGAACATACTAGAGCTAATGTAGACACACAAAGATTTACCAGAATGTTCTATTGATCTAGTCTTAGGGGCCGAGGGTTCAGTGTTCTTAACTTGACTGGAAACATCAGACAGAGTAGATAAGGTTGCGCTGCCATCAATTAGGCGCAGAGTAATGCTTATTCTCATGGTTTCAGACTTGTCCTGGATGAGGCTGTGTTCAAAGCTGGTCTGGGATTGTCTGGTCATATTCATTATGTCACCATGGGAGAGGGTGAGGTCAGCAATATGAGCTCTAAGTTTGGATCTGAAGCTTAGGACTCTAGTAGCCCCTAAAGAGATGGTGGAGATCATGGAGCCTGGTGAAATTGACCTCTCGTCATCCGAGTGAAAGGGAATTCCTTGCTGACCATTTCTATACTTGGTAATCATAGCACTATTGAATTTCAATTTTGGGAACTGTGAGCGTAAGCGTTCTAGAATAGACTTTAGGTATGGATTGTCTGCTACTGGCCTTGTGTTATGAAAGCCTCCATTGTAAGCGTAGGGAAAGTCCCCGTAATATGCAACTGCCCTATTCTCAAACTTATGAGTATAGTGGGTTTCTATATCTAACTTGGCAGTGTCAACAAACTGAAAAACTCCTCGACTCAAATCTTGGTATGGATTGATAGAGTTGCTCACATCATTGTCACCATTTACAGAGTGTTTGGGATTTTCCAAATTGATAATTTCTGCTGAATGTTCACTGTCTTCTGCTAATTTGGATAGCTCTTGGGTTAACTCAGAAACAAGATGCGAGGATGACCTATTACTGAGGGGAACATTGATAGACTGTTCACAGTGATCAGGTACCTGGGGCAACACAGGGATAAGTGAACCATCGCTGAGGGGAACTTTGAGTGCACTGTCACTTTCTGATAATTGTTTATAGAGAAAAGAAATTTGCCGACGAAGACTATCATTCTCTCTTAATAGAGTTAAACAATTTGAACATTTATCAGTAGGACAAGAGCCGTTGCTGGGGAATTTAACAGAATTCCCTCGATATCTCAGATTGTAATGTCTTGAGCCAACTGGTATTCTAGACATAGTTTATCACAAAAAGATGCTACTGTTCGAAATTTAGTTAATGATTACAGTACCTTTGTAGCACTCCGGAGGATAAGGATAAGTGATGTCTGATAATCTTTAGGTGATAGATGGGAGTAAACTGCTTTAAAAACCGATGTCTGATAGTCCTTAGGATGTCTTTAAGATAACTTTATCGTGCAACAACCATTTACATTGACATACAACCTGTAATGGTCGTTACATTTACCGAGGCATTAGTTCCCACTGGGGGTCCTCAATAAATGTAATAGATTTGTAGTGTTGTAATTAGTTTAAAACTAAAAATTGCTTCATGGTGGTTTCTTATCACGGCTACAGACTTTCCCGTACCGGATATAGTGGTCGAGATGAGTCTGTTCAGCCCTCTTCTTCTTCAGGTCGGTAACCAGATGTTTCCTCGTTGCTCGTTCTTCGCTAGATCTATCTGGACAGATCCATACATTTTTGTGGGTCTCAACTAGCCTCAGTCTTCCTGTTTTCATCAGAATCTGTTGAACCGCTGTTGAGCTTGGGACAGTGATCTTTACTGGTCGGATAGTCGTACTACCTGGCCTCTTCCTGCCGACTCTAGTCGCTTCGAAGTGAGGTTTCTCCCCAATCTCCTCCAGAACTGCGGTTACTAGCGCTGGAAGCTGTTCTTCCTCTTCTTCTTTCAACCCAAACACAATCAGGTTCTTGCTCCTGTCCTCCTCTGCAGCCACACTCTTCATCACCTTCTTCAGGATTTTACTGTTGCAGACCGTACCACTTGCACTGTTCTGTTGTACAGCTGCACTGTAGCTCTTAATCCCTGACTCCACCGTTGTTTGCACTGTCTCCTTAACCGACGTCTTAAACAACTGTAGTTCTTTGTCCTTCTGCACAAGCAGCTGGCCCTGCAGCCTGATCAACTTGTCCTTGTCTTCTAACGCTTCCGTCTTCAAGAAATATATGATCTCCTCCATTTGAGCCATCTGGCATTCATGCCGTTGAACGAGGTCTATTGCTTCCACAAGCCGAAGTGCCAGATGCTTTTTATAGACAGTTGGAGCCATAAATAGTTCTCTGTCCATATCTCCACCAATATCTCTGTCGTCTATTTTCAGTTCTTTTCCCAGCGCAATGAACCACTTAGTACAACTGTCCTTCAATTTTGTCTGTTCATCATACTCGAATCCTTGAATTTGGTCCAGAGATTGGGTCACCTTACGATCATCCTCCATAGTGTACTTGTATAGGAATGTACAAGTACACACGCAAAGGCTAACTACGCGGTAGCAGCAAACTGAACTTATCGCAATTTACAAAAGATAAGGGAGCTCGATAATTGCAACGTAAGCTACACTGACTACACACACTTGGCTCACGAGACTGAGAAGAAAAGAGCATATAATGCAAGGGTCCTAGAAGTGGAAAAAGCTACCTTTACACCTTTAGTTTTCTCCACAACAGGAGGCATGGGAGTCGAAGCGCAACGCTTGATTAAAAAGCTTGCACAAAAGATGGAATCTCCAACGGGTCAGCGTTATTCAGACTCAGTTACATATCTTAGAAAGCGCTTGCGCTTTGAGGTATTAAAGATAACGGTTATTTCGATAAGGGGGGACAGAGGGCCCAAGTTGCGATATAAACCAGACAATATTGAAGATTTAGATTTAAATATTGAGCCCTTTGGCTAGAGAATACTTTCTTGAATATTTTCGATAGTTTTTAATATTGGTAATATTAATGAATTGTAATTGATTGATATGTAATATTTAGGCCCGTGGCCAGTTTTCATAAACACACCGATCGCAGATATGGCAGAATTATAGCAGGCTGAGCCCCACTCACTAATAAAAGTACGGGTTCGAGATTTGTTGTTTGTTTGTCTAGTCTTCACAACCTCTGGAGGTATGGGACCGCTATGCACTGTATTTGTAGATCGTGTCTCTGAGATGATAGCTGACCATAAAAAAGAAGCCAAGAGCCAAGTCAAAAATCATATCAGAACACGATTCAGATTTGATCTGTTAAGAAGTACACTCATTGCACTAAGAGGAATCAGAGGAAGATCAACGGCCCAGCATCTTGAACTGCATGACATCTCCTTCAACCTCATCCCCCAGAAGACGAGCTTTGAGGTCTCCTAGATTTGTTTATGTAAATTTTGATATTTTACTGTACTATTTTATGTTGTATATAATTTTACGGACGAAATGATCCCAGGGGGGACTCCCAACCCACCGCTTCGGCGGGTAGTTGACGCACCTTTCACAAGCAAGAGCCACTTTGGTCTACTTGCTGTGAGGTGTCTCAGCTACATGGGTTGGGGGTCCCCCCTTTTTTTCTTTTTTTTTTGATTTGTTGTTTTCTTGAACGATCGGGAAATCTGTGATTGAGAGTTAAATGAACAGGCATACCTGTAGTACCCAGTCTAAAGATTTAGAACTTTTTAATGGTGCACTACAAACCATAGTACTATATTTATGCAATCCAGCCACATTAGCTATTACTTTGGCATAATTATTACTGAGTTTCTGACCATCATCGTGTGGGACCTTTTGAACCAAGGGTGTTCTCGTCCGTGTATTTAATAGCTTAATAGCTAACTGTTATTATCTTAACACTGTATTGGTTGGATTTTATCTGTTAAGAGATATTCAGGGTCATCACGCTTTGTTGCAAAAAGGTGATTTTCCCAAATCTTTGTGATTACGTTTAGAATTATCATTAACTATTAACATTCAATTGGAAAATGCCCTTATTTTCTCTTGTTGATAAGTTGCACAGCTTTCCTTGTTTTGCAATGTAAAATTTTCCAACAGAATGCTCCACTTCATTCGTATTTAAACAATTTCTACTCTTTTGGTTAATCTCAGCAGGCGGTGGAGCGTTATCATCAGCTTGAAAAGTAAAAATTATGATTTAATGGTCAATGGAGGATGACATTCGCACTTAATCACCGTTGCACCAGTTCCCTAGTCCTAGTACTGGGGCATGGGGTCATTGGGCACAAAATCTGAGTCTCTGTGTCACAAGCCTGTGGTGGTTGTGACTGGGAGGGTACATTAAGTCACTGGGGCCAGGGCTTGAACTCCTGGGAAAGGATTAGAGAAGCCATATTATACATATTCTTCAGTTTCTTATTGTAATAAATAATATTGAACTCCATACTGTTTTCAATAATCACAACTATTAATATGAATTAGGAGCATGCTGTAAGGTCTTGTCAATAATATGCTGTAAAGAACTGGCATGAAGGATACACAGGCTGTGTTATTCAGACGGGGCAGCTTTTTAGCAGTTAGACATGATAAAGGATGGTGGCTTTCCCAACTTTATACTCGTGTTTTCGAGGGATCAGAGAAGGTTTGAAACTTTTTTACTTATTAAAATCCATATTATGATTTATGTTAAGTAAAACTTGATAGATTTGTAGGGAAATTGAAACAGCATTTCACCTAGGAAAGACCTAAGTCTATGAACTATGATTCCGAGTGTTCGAAAATTCCCTCTTTAAATATTTTAATTGTTTGTTATATCATTAAATGGCTAGTTATTTATTTATCACGATTTTTCAGGCAAGAATACGTTGGTTTGACGAAATATCTGAGAAAGGTTCTGATAAGTTATTTGTGATAGATGAGTGCAATGATATTCCCGCGAAGAGTATAATTTGCTCAGTGAAAGTCAAATGTTTGTCCAGGCGACCAATGAAAGTTTCTGTTGCTGCCATTGATTGTAAGTTGGTTGCAAAACTCCTGTCAGAAAGTAAAAACCCCAAAACTTCTTCAAAGGATTTATCAAAAACATCTCCTAAGAAGGCTACTAAAAAGAAAGGAAAGGGAAGTCTAGGATCTAAATCTAAAAGAAAATCAGCCATCAAGAAATCTGCAGCTAAACGTAAAGCTGTAACAAAAGCTGGACCTGCTGCTAAAAAGAAGAAAAAGGTTACTTGCTACTCCAACATAACTCTGTATCAAACGAACCCAGTGTGGGACCCAAAGACAGATATACCTCATGTTGCACCCACAGTGAACTCAATACTATACACCCGAGCTGTGAGAAACAAGCAGTATGGAGAGGTTGAGAAACTGCAAAAAGACTTGAAACTTTTTGCTCATCTATTCGGCTATGTTCAAGGACAAGGGTGTTGCAACAAGTTGGTTTCAAAGAATTCCTGGCACTTTGCTATCGATAATAAAGATAAGAGAATGATAAGCCTTTTGAAAAAGTTGTCAGATAAAGAGAATATTATCTCTAACAGTTCCCACAGAGTCGGGAAGACAAACAGTTTACTAGAAGTAAGTGTAATTCTCAATAGATTTCGGTTTTCATTTAGTTATTATCTACCACTTGATAGTTAAACAGACATAGTGCTACTGACCATGTATGCCGTATGGAACCACATCAAGGAATAGTTTTTTTGTTTTTTTGTTGAAATGTTTATTTAAAACCAAAACTGCCAAAACTGCCAAAACCGATGGTTCCCCTCGGTCTAGGAGGGAGCCAGGATTTGTCCTTCAAGCTCTAACATCGCTATTTGTTAACCAGTGGCCTCCATTAAAGGTAAGTTTTTTGGGGCAGAGGACACCATGACCAGTCATATTGGGATGTAGTTCCAGGCCACCTCCCATGTGGGCATGTTGGTTTTGGCAGCAAAAAATAGTTAAATGTCATAATTATCTTTGACAATATCAAAGAATAGTTTAATAAATAATTTGAATAGTTTGATAAATCCTTCTTACCCTCTAAGGTGGTTAACACAGGTACGTACAACCCTGCTTCACTTGGCATAGAGCATGTCAGACCCCTTACCATGGCACGAGGTAGCCGTGAGGGCATTAATGCCTTCCAACCCTTGTACACTGATGGCAGTAATGTTCTAAACATGAAAAGTGTCGTCAAGTACGCTATTAGCCAGGGACATGATTACCAGTTCATAAAGTTCCTCGTAAGTTATTACAGAGGATTGTTAAATTATGATTAATAAATTCTTGAATTTGTAGGTGTTTAAAATGCATAATCTCGGTTAAATCACTACTTTCACCTTTGGAAAGCGGTGGAAAGAGCAGAAATTGGAGCCAATAAATATAATCCACATAATTGCCTCATTTGCAGATGCTGACTATAAGTCCAAAGGATTCAAACACAGACATGATAGAATACCTCACCACAGCCCTGTGGTCCAACAACAGACAAGTTGCTGCGACCATCGCTAAGGAATCTCTGGCATGCGGTGACACTGACAGCTTCAACCAACTCCACTACGAGGCAAGTTTAGCTGTAATATTATATGTAGTTCTAATATACAGCTCTCTGGTTTGAAGGTAATTGTAATTCAAGTTGGTGATCACGTGAGGGTAATTTACCTGATGAGCTTATATCTATATTATATAGATTATATGCAGCAGCCAAAAAATCCTGTATCACGTCCAACTGCAACCGTCAAGTCTATAATTACACAACCTACATAAACTAGACATAAACCTAAAATTAAATAACCTACACGAATGAAATAGCGTTGTTTAAACACATAAATTTAAAATTTAACCTGGTGCTCATGCTGGTTACTGTAATCCTGAATTCGTAATTTAATAATAGTATATAATCAATTTCTTCAAAGACTTGATCATAATATCAGTAATGTTAAACTTAAACTTAACAGACGTTATATAATACAGTCTACAGCACATTATACTAAATGTATAGGTATCACACTTTGCTAAATAGTAAATAGTGACCATGCAAAGCTTCTAGAAAGTTCTAAACACATTTACCACTAATATCAAACACAATGTAAAGCTTGATGTCAGCTTGAGATTGTGGTGCTTGCAGTCGACCACTTTATATCTACAGTATAGCTACATGCTTGAAAATACTACAAATGTGCTGCTGAAATTGTCACTCTCGGGCATGACCAGGCATGATTCCTATTATCAGTGCAGCTTGAGCTGGGCATGCCCGGGCAAGTCATAAGCTATTATTCAGACCTGTAAACAAAGTAGCATGATGTGAGATGTGGTACAGATAATATGTAGTCTGTATCTTAGGTACAAGGTGTGGCTCATGATAAGAGTGTTATGTACATGGTACCGAGTACCCTGCTGGCTGCTTGTTATGTACAAGTGTACTTGAAAGCAGACACTGCACCACTGTACTAATGACCAGGAATGCTAGGAATGGCATTCAGGCGGCGCTTCTGTACATTTTATATGTGTACTCCTTATGGGTTCCCATGGTTTCAGGATTCAAAATAATATTACATTTATGTGATATGTGGTGGAGTACGTGATTATTAAAACCATTAACAAAATGTGATAAGGTTTATTTATTTTGGAGCTAGGGACTTCGTATAACGAAAAACTATTTCTATCAATTCCAATATAATAATAAATTGTATTTGCTATTATACTATACTATTTGCAGGTGCTGGCGTTCAATAAATCAGAGAAGTTGACCCCTTTTAAATCAGTTAACTGTCAGAAGAAAACTAACTACTACTACGGCAGACTGACACCCTTACACAGCGCTGCACTCAACCCTAATGCTGATTATTTGAAACAGGTACCTCTTATCATCTAGTTTTATTAGGCCCATAAGTCTTATGTGTACATCGGCTATAATTGATTAAACTTTTCTCAAGAAATGGTCTCGCGAACTCTTTGCATAGGTCAGTCAGGCAGTGGTTCACACTCTTTTTGGAATCTCTAGTTTTCTTAGGGGTAGTGTTTCCGATATCCTAGCATTTTGCATAATCGTCTGGTATAATACAGGGTGGACATTGACTCTGAGCCGCCCTGTATAATGTATATTCTTATCTCGATCCTACACCTACGTGGCAAGTTTGCTCCTTGAACAAAACAAAACCCAGCCCTCATAGAAGGTTTAACAAATTGACGGGCAGGATGGGATGACTGGGGCTAGTTGAGCTGGTAATGAGCATACTTGAGGCATTCAATATTATAACCTTAGAATATAACATTCCAGCACATTGTGTGTACCGACACTGTGTATTCGCTTACGTCATGTGTAAAGTGACTCAATTTCGATCTGTTATGGGATTGTGATCCTGCTTGACAAGATGTTCTCTCTCTTTTTTAATCAATTATCGATAGTATTCCTCTTGTTCTCCAGTCTCCTCTGGTCCTTTGTGTCAGCCAGAGGATAATCAACGATTGCCAAGGTTTGATGCCTAAGCAATCCAAACCTCTAATATTGAGACCATGTAATTAATAAAATTAAGTTCAATAAATCAAATAACATTTAAAACAACTATTCAGATGTTGAGAGAGAACCCTCAGCCGGAGATTAGGGACGGAGCTGGGTACACACCCCTACACTACGCTGCTATCTCTAGCTCTGCAGCTGCTACTAAATTCCTGCTCAGTCAGAACATTAACCCTCTTGTTACCAGCACTGCGGTAGGTTTAATTAATTAATTAATTGATGTTCTATTAATGATAATTTTATATTATATATCAGTAATTCGTTAGAAGAGTTTTGGATTAATTGCTCAGTTTACAGATACTATTTATCTGGTCTCTTTGAATGAACCTGCCATTTTGATCATACCCCACAATTATTTGCGTATTATGGAGTTATGGATTCACCTGTTCTCATGACAAAACCCACGATAACACCAGTTTAAAAACACTTCACCTGCACTTCACCTGCACTTCACCTGCTCTTCATACCACGTGACCTCACATCATGATCAGTCCTGATGACAGGTTTGGGATTATTTTCTCTTTGAGTATTAATCTGACTCATTCTTTTCTAGGGATGTTGTACTTGTGTAAGTGTAACTCGATATCTTGTACCGTGATATTTCTGTACACAAATTTTCTTTTATGTGTATTTAATTTTATCAGTTTGACCCGCTTCACCTCACTCTTGGTGTAAGAAACCACACAAATACACTTTATCAACACTTCACGACTCATACTATTCTCATCACAGCTCTCCTTCAAGTTAAAACTTAATCCTGACCCTCTTAATGTTTCAGGGTATCACTCCACTAATGTGGGCAGCCAAAGCTGGCTCTGCAGTGAACATCAAAGCGCTGCTCGGTTACGCATACGCGGAACACTTTGCCGCGCGTACACCAGGACCTATAGACACATCACGTATTGTGGACATAGACCTGATCAAGAGTGTAACCAAGGAAGCAGGAAGGGTGAACAGTAAGTCAGCAGTAGGGGAGCCGGGAGAGGTGGAGGAGAGTATCACAGCGCGACATCTTCTAAAAACTGGGATAGGAGGGATGGAAATAGCGGTGCTGAAGGGAAAGGTTTCCACATACACGGCGCTAACATTCGCTGTGGAATGTGGACATTATGAGGCTGTGTCCGTATTGCTGGATCTCGGGGCTAACCCTAACAAGTCGCTTGGAGCAGGGAGGCGCAAGATGTTTCCTATCCACATCGCAGCTAAATACGGTCACTTGGAGATCTTGAAGTGTTTAATCCTGCACGGAGCCAAGACACGGAGTAAAGACAGGCACGGTCTCACAGCATTTCACTACGCAGCCAAATACAACCAGCTTCATTGTGTTAGTTGGCTGGCTGCCAACGTGGTCCCTGACGCTAATATTGGGGACAGTTCTGGGAACACCCCGCTCCAGTACGCCTGCGCTGAAGGGTATATCCTGGTGGTTACATACCTGGTGGAACAGCTAAAGGTGGACGTTAAACAGACTAATAGTTGGGGAATGCCCGCTCTGGAGCTTGCATTCCTGAGGCAGCAGATGGGGGTTGTGGATTACCTCCTCAATGCGGCTGATATTGATATTAACTTTAGGGACAATGCTGGTGCTACTCTCGTCATGAAACTATGTGTGGAATCTATGCAGGATAAGTGTAAGACTATGGAACCGCTGGAGTTTCTTCTGAGTAAGCCGGGTATAGACGCCTTGGCAGTTGATACTAACGGTTGTAACGCGTTACACTACCTTGCAGTACAGGGGTCCGGAACCGCTGAGAACTATGATAAAATCTTAGGGTTACTGATAGACCTCGGGCTGGATATCAACAGTAAAACTACCAACGGCAAGACGCCGCTCTTGATAGCAGTAGCTAACAAAGCAAGCGGGTATCACTTTAAAGTTAACACTGTCCTAATACAGTCTCTGATAAAACACGGAGCTGATATCCGAGATATAAGGTTGGAGCACAATAGGAATATCATGCAGTACTTTGCTGCAGGGTGCTCTGAGCTTTCTTTAGGTATCATTGAGATTATTGAGCAGGGTTCTTCTGCTGAGCTTTTAAAGGAGCTGGTTGAACATAGAGATGATCTGGGTATGAACATTCTTCACATTGTGGTGGAAAAGTGCTTCGGCTCGACTAGCTACCGCAAGAAATTAACCGGGGACCCGTGGAAGATTTTAGAGAAACTTTTAGGAAGTAGTTTTAATATGGATATTAACAGCGAGGTGAAGGAAAGAAAACTTGATGAAAAAGCTAAATGTGACTGCAAGATAAAAGATGAAGTACACACTATTGAAGTAAACACAGCAGATGACTTAGAGTGTCACACTAAGTCATGTGCTGTGTTTCCCTTCACAGAACATGGCCTCTTCAGACCCCTGAACTTCGCTATGAAGTACGGTTCAGGCATAGACGATGTCAAGAAGATCCTAGCGTACAAACCCGACCTGAACTACAAGGACAACGATGGTTTGTACCCTCTACACCACGCAGTTCTCGGAGGTAAAGTAGATCTCATACCAATCCTGTTGGAGCACGAGCCTCTAACTGACGTGCTGGCAGACCCGGGTATCTGTAAAGATAACAAATACGCAGACTACCCTATACTTGTGCTAGCAGCTATGTTCTGTGTAGACAGTGTGATGACGTTGGTGGAGGCTGGAGCCTGTACTTATTCTTCAGCACCAGATGGTAGGAACGTGCTCCACCACATTGTCAGTAGGTACGATAACCTCCATCAGAGGATAACCATAGCGGAGAAGTTACTGCCGCTTGTTGATGATGTTAATGATGTAGATAAAGATGGGAACTCGTATCTTCATCATGCGGTATCGGGGGTGGAGCATGGTAGCAATGTTTCCATTGAGATGATATCCACTTTACTTCTGATGGGAGCTGAACCTAACCTTGTCAACACAAAAGGACAAACACCTCTGCATTTTGCATTCCTCTCCTCGGGCCAGAAACATCCCAGTACCGAGCTAAGTGATCCGATAGAAGTTGTGAGTATTCTGACTCAACTGATGAAGAAAGAGTCAATCAGTGCTGCAGACTCATTCCACGGTTTTACTGCGCTTCACCTGAGTGCAATGCGCGGAGGATCAGTCACCTCCATACACCTTATCTCTCACGGGTGTGAAATTGAGGCTGTCGACAGCCAGGGTAACACGCCTCTAACACTGGCTGTCAGTGGGAAACACCAGAGTTGCGTGCTGATGTTGATTGAGAAGGGTGCTAACATTGATAGGAGTGTGTGTTACCCAATCTTCAGAAAGGATCCTGAGAAGACAAAGGAAGAGGAGCTGAAGAAGAAGACAAAGGAAGAAGAACTGTACACTTGGCTTCCTTCGAAAGAGAAGGGTTTAATTAGCCCTCCAACAAACCCCACTTCCAGCTCCAGCAACATAATCCTCTACCAGGTGATAAGACACGAGTGGCAGGGTGTCCTCTTTAAACTTGTAGATCTGCTCGGACAGTCCTTCGTTCCCCTTGAAGCTGCCATCGTCTTGATGAAGTTTAACCTGGCTGTAACACTGCTGCTCAAATTTGGAAAGAGTGTCACCCCTGGGGACTGCAACGACAAGGGACAAACTTTGGTGCACAATCTGGCATTCACAACAAACACTGAGCCAGAACTTCAGAAGAGATTACTGAATTTATTGATCAAGTTCCAGTACAATGTAACAAACACAGATACCGCGTACAAGTGTACTCCGTTACACTACGCTTGTTACCAGAAAAAGTTTGAGATATGCAAACTTCTGGTTAAACCGAACACCGTGAACTGTAAAGACATGTTCGGTCGCACTCCTCTGTGTGCATTGTTTTGGCGGGGCCCTCCTGACGAGGAAATAGTTCGACATCTGGTTCAACAGGGTGCATCCCTGGAAAATACCTGCGATTTTAATCTCCACGAATCTTATTATCCTCTCTTTGATTATAAATTCCACATCGGACAGTCTGATTACTTCACTTCCTACAGCCAACGGTACACAGTGCTCATCAAGGCTATATTAGAGGACAACATGACTTGTTTTCAGTACTTGCTTGATCTGGGTGCGGATACCAGCACTCCTTGTAGCCGGGGAATGACACCCCTGATGTACGCTGCTAAACTTAACAGAGTCACCATGTTCCAGAAAATGCTGAAATCAGCTAAATCTGATGTATTTTCCTCCAAATCGGAAGATTCCAGAACAATTTTACACTACGCTGTATTGTCCCACCCAGAGGCTCAGCTGGAAGGCCCCACTATTCTCAAGAGCTCTATTACTCATCTCAAGAAGTCCGGAACTCTGGGAGAGATTCTCGAAATCAGAGACTGTGAGAGGAAAACAGTTCTTGATTATTGCCAGAAGTTCCCTGCATACCTGAAAATGTTGGGTAGTTTATCTGTCCACTCCAACAATCACGCTTCACCAGACGATGAAACGATGAAACAACCACCTGATTTCGCTGCAGACTGTGAAAAATACTTCGCTCAAATCGAAGAGAGTAGAAAAGGGAACGGCGAGCATAAAGCGCTACCTGACGAATCTGTAAGTCTGAATAGTGATGAGTGTGAAGTTTACCGCGATGACAAGGGCGTGTTCTACGATATGCTCATGACAAAGATAGACATTAAAATCAGGTCTCGTGGATTGTATAACTTCTACAAGCTACAGCTTCTTAGAAACAAGGGGAAGGATATCTATGTTCTGTTGAATAAATGGGGCAGGATTGGAGACTCTGGGCAGCATCAGGAAACTCCTTTCCCAACGTTGGAGGAATGCAAGGCTGAGTTCATGAAGATATTTAAAGCAAAGACGAAGAATGACTGGAATGATTTGGATAACTTTGTGGCTCACTCAGGAAAGTATAGGCTTGTGAATAGAGAGTGGCGGTATCATAACCAGTTTAAGGACATTGAATACGATTTTCGAGAGGATGAATATCCCTGTCTTATTATGGCCAAGGAGGTTTTTGAAGTTCTGTTGGAAGCTACCGAGCCAAAGAACATGAAAAACATGCTGGAAGATGACCTGAAGTTAAATGTAGCTGAGTTACCGTTCGGTTTCATAAAACTGGACGATCTAGATAAGGTTAATCTAATTCTTGATGACATAGAGAAGCTTGTCGAAGATACTGAAAACCTGAAATCAAAAGCAGATCTGACAGATTCCAAGTCACAATCGGAGTTTATGATTAAAACCCAGAAGATATACGACCTGACAAACGAGATCTACCAGTTAATCCCACAAAAAGGGTTCAACGTTACATTAGTGGAGCCTCTCAACACATTAGCAGAGATCAAAGAATGGAGGACAAAACTCACAAACCTAAGAGACATGGAGATAATCAACAGAATAATGGCTGGCTCCCAGCTCCACAAAATGCGCACCCACCCTCTGACGTATGTGTATAAGAGTATCGGGTGTGATATAACCCCACTAGATCGTCTGGACGTGACAACTCAGTATTTAACTCGCAGTATATTTGCTTCTAACGGTTCAAGCTGTCAAGGTATTCGTGGAATTTACAAGCTAACCCCTCATGTTCCTGATCAGAGGAAAGCGGGAAAACGGAGACTCCTCTTCCACGGAATCTCAACCGGTGCGCTGCTCTCCATCCTGAAACGAGGTCTGCAGAATGCGCCATTTGGCAGAGCCTACGGTACTCAATTCGGCGAGGGGATTTACCTGGCTGATAACTTTGTGAAGAGTCTAAGCTATGCTCAGGGGCACAAATCACAGTTTGTTTTGGTAGCCAGCGTGGTTATGGGCAAGGTTCATCGGCACATTCCTTGCAATTACTGGCAAGATCTGATGGACTCAGATGACAAGCCAGATGTTGATACGACGTGGGCAGTTGGACAGCTTCATCAAGATCCAGCATACAATATGGTTCTTCCATGTGGGAATATGATCGGTATGGGTAAATTCCTGGAGGCTAAAAAGGAAAGTTTTTCTAGGATCAAAACTGGAGATCAAAGTTGGGGAGAGGGAACCGATTTCACTATGGGAACACTCCAGTTTAGTGATAAACCAACTGTTCATTCTTCAAGTGATGATGACGAGGAGAGCGGTGAGGAGAGCGGCGAGGATTGCAGTGATGAGGAAGATAGCGAGGAAGAAGAAGAAGAAAAAACAGATAAAAAGAAAGAGGGAGAGGAAGAGTTTATGGATACTTATAGGTACAGAAATCTACCGAAACACAGTGAATTTATCGTGAAGAATGCTGATAACATAAGACTGGAGTATCTAGTACAAATACGTTATTAGAATTTGCTTTTATCATTTTAGTTCCGTTAGGATTATTCTAAAGATATACGTAAGATGTTAATTATTACACACGTGTTCACTGTTCTCTGTTAGTAATAGTACGATAGTGCAATATTTTATATGACAGTAACGAGGTTTATTATCACAAATGGTAGTTAATTGGCCTGGTGACATGGTGTGTACAAGTATCATCATTGATGTTAAATATAACTTATAAGCATATGTTTTGTCCTTACACGCTACGTTAATTAATAGGCTCAATATGATATCAGTAATTGCTGTTTACCTTTAAAATGGCAGAAGCTGCTGGTTCTGGTTCTAGGGCCAGGGTTCTTTTTAAGATTTGTTAATTTCGGTAAAGAATAATTTATCATTTAAAATATTTAGCTACACTGGATTGTGTGATTTGTGATATCAGGTATACAATATACAGATTTCTAAAGTTTCACTTCATGGCAACTTCATGGCAGTCATGAAGTTACGGTTGTTGGTATTATAGTAATTATAATCATATTCGCAGCGATAGTAAATTATGCTTGATTGTATATTATTAGCATTATTATAACAGTAATTATCATGGTTGATTTGTTTTAGAAATTTCAATTTGAATCAGATGTTCGTTCCTCTCATTCTATCACACTAAAATTTGTGAATTTTACGCAAATAAGTTCAAAATTTACATCTTAGTTTGGTGACTCAACAACCTTTGGTGCTAATTTGTGTATCCAGTAGTGAATACTGAATAGTGACGCGATATAGTGTATGGTGTAAGTCCTCTTAATTTCCAAATTAGTACAAGGTCTACTACAACTCAGTGCAGTGACGCGCAATGAATTTAATGCTATTGACTGTGGCGCGTATTTTGCTTTAATAAGCATCGTCTGTGACATAAACACGTGAAATGTGCCCTGAAATATTAGATGTCAGATAAACAGAATCACACGCCTGAAATGATGAATACACCGCAGTATGATGTATGTACTATACTTTGATACAATAAGCTAGCACCTGGATGCTCTATTGCTTGTATCTCCGCTCCGAATTTGCCTCTGATTACACATTTACAGACCACTTCTAAACAACCACTGCCTACTAGACCTGAGTGAGTCCTAGTTGGATGAAATATCGTAAAAGTCTGATGTGCAACACCACATATAATCACACCCAAAAAGGAGCGGTATGTCCAGTGACTAGAGTCTGTGTAGGAGGTAGCTAGGAGCAGTTGGGGGGGGGGGGGGGACGATGGCATAAAATGGAGACTTTTTCTATGGAGAAAATGGAAAACCCCTCTAGTAATTCTCCATTTTATGCCATGAATTTTGATGATCGAGTTACGTATGTGGCACCTTACTTGGACACTCTAACATGTTTATTGTCGCATACCAGGCTACTCAAAGCTCATACCAAGCTACTTGAGACTCATACCAGGCTACTAGGGGCCGGTATGAGTCTTTCACATTCCACTCAATTTCACTCTGATAGTGATAAAATTTAGAAATCGATCGAAAATCCGGCTATAGTAAGCTAATATATATTATATATATATATACATATAAGTAGTTAAGAAGGTAATTGGCTGGATATCAATCAGAAATTTCATTCATTTTCAGGAAAAATGTTCGAGGGCTAGGTCCTGAAAAATATTTTCGGCTCATAATGATCAGAGTAACATGAACACTGGAGAAAAGTGGTTTCCAGGAAAACTTTTTAAATTTTTTACTTGTTGAAAGATAAATTTAAAGGGCTGAAGAGGTCAATGAAACATGTGTTAGAGTACTCAAAAAAGCTGAGTAAGAAATGTGGTTGTCCCTTCCACAATCTAGAAAAGGGGAGGGGAGAGAGAGAGAGAGAGACAAGCATTGGGTCAAGCTAGAAGTGCCGACTGTCCAGTGGACTTGAGCCCTTAGAACTGGTTGAATAGCAGGACCTGTTGCAAGTCTGGATACAATCTGGGGAGGGGAGGGGGATCGTGTTGGAGGGACAATAACGTTTACTAAGGCTTAGGTAAAAGAGACTAAGGATGTTCGTAGAAATTTAGATACTTGGTAGCTCTAGCGAACCCCACAATGTTACTGATAGAACAGTTGCGTACCGTTACAGTTTGTCGTCTTAATACATGTTCTACCTCAAGGACCACCAGGTTAGTTTATACTGACCGTTGCGTTACACAACAATAGCAGAAAGGAGATAGGAGAAAGTGAGGTTGGCGCCGCTAAGTAAGAATGATGAGTATTGCGGGAAGAATAAAATTACCCTGGGACCCCAGTGTTTAAAATATGGCGAAGTAAAAGGCTGATCGCCATCAAATAATAAAGAAATTTAAAATTTATTGTGATGGTTAACGTAAATGTTATGATTTCCACTACATAATATACGATTTTGAAGTGCAGTGAATCAGATGAAATTCAAGATTGTAGATGAAATTAAAGTACCTAATTTAGGGGTAGTTCACATATTACGCAATCACTGAGCGGGGTTTCTAAATGATTCCGCTAGTGTAATTTTTACACAATAGCTATGTGTAAAATTTATTACGGAGGGGGAGGGGGTTCAAAATTGGCCAAAAAGTGATTACGTAACAATATGTGAACGACCCCTTATCAACAGGGGTCTGCTAAGCCGACACAGTTCGAGTTTCCATAGCTCCATTTTGAGGCCCGATGAAAGTTATCTGTGAGTAGTTGAGTGGTTGGCGATGGTTTTCTATGATTTCGTGTGCCAATGGTTAGCAAGAAGGAAAGTTTGGGCCAACCTTTTGAATGTTGGTCTCAGCAAGGCCAAGTCCAACGATCGTGCGAGACGCTGTGACTTGTGAGCTGTTGAGGGAAAAAAATGTACAACTGAGTAGGATTATTAACTGCCGGTTTCAGTATCTACTACTGTCGATTCTGGTCACTTTTTAGAATATTGTTAAACTTCACAAATTACAATTCTTAGGTAATGGCAAAGCGGCGAAAAGGATCTGGCAACAAAGGCTCTGGTATGCGATATTCTTTTCATCTTTCTAACTAACTTTTCTAACCTTTCGTTCTATCATGAAGCTTTTTCGTTGGATTATTATTCAATAACTACCACTACATATTCACTATACAGGTGCAAAACGACAGAGGAAAGTAATAGATATAGAAAATGAAAATGAGTTAACTGCTACAGAATGTGCGGAGACAGTGCAAGAAGAATGTGAAAAAGTAACTTCGTCAGATCAGCAGAAAATATCGTCGAACTTGGCAGTGAGTCAGGAAGCAGGAAATTTAGTGAAGATTCAAGAGAACTCTCAGGATTTCGATGAAATATTGATGAGTCCAAAAAATGGGAACAGAGATCAAGGAACCTATCAGTATCAAAGCGACACCGTGACGTAAGTTATTTGCAAGATCAACAGTCTTTGTTGTGAGAAGTATCCAATAGGTCTGAAGTGTATGGAGACTGGAGAGGAACATATCTGAATTTATCCGTACGAGCAATAAATAAATTAACTTTGATGGTATTGATTTGCTTTCTGTCAGACAACTAAACATTTGCTATTTTCAGAGCCGACCTAGATGACACAGAAGAAGCCGAGAAAAACAAAAGTGCCATGTCTAAGTCGTTTAAAAAATTGTCCGATAATTTGGAGAAAGCTAAGAAAGATTTGATTCAGATTAGGGAGTATGTTGACCATTGGAAGAAACTGTTCGATCTGGCCAAACGAGAGCACAACTCTCTACTTAAAAACGATGTTGTACAAAAACAAACCTCGTGATAACCGGGGTATATACGGGTGGATACGGCATCCTCATCAACTTTGCCCACTTTCCACAATTTATTCCAGATAATTATGCGTGACTTATAACTTATCTTATTTTGCCAATAGATTTTTGTTGACCTTCAGGTTTTCAACAAAAACGTAAGTTGATAGTTATTCAGCTCAGTCTGTTGTGAATCTGACTCCGTTATTCATTATTTTTTCTACATAGCATAATATTTCAATTCAAATCATATTTTGGTAATTTTTAACTTGTTATTAAATTGTTAATTCGTATTTCAATACTCAATCTTAATCGTATAGAGGGGGGGTGTCACGTCCGTCTATGTCCGCTTGTCTCATAGAATCCAAAAAGGACAGGACATAGGCGGACAAATCCTCCTCCTGAGTCCTCCTCCTGGGTCCTCCTCCTGGGTCCTTCTCCTCCTCTTCATCCTCCTCCTCTTCCTCCTCAGTCCTCAGTCTTCCTCAGTCCTCCTCCTCATCCTTCTCCTCAGTCCTCCATCCTCCTCCTCAGTCCTCCCCCAGTCCCCCTCCTCCTCCTCCTATTCAATCCTCCTCCTCCTCCTCCTTCTCAGTCCTCCTCAGTCCTCCTCCTCCTCCTCCTCCTCTTCCCTCTCAGTCATCCTCCTCAGCCATCCTCCTCAGTCCTCCTCCTACTCCTCCTCCTCGTCCTCAGTCCTCCTCATCAGTCCTCAACAGTCCTCCTCCTCCCCAGTCCTCCTCCTCCTCCTGAGTCCTCCTCCTGGGTCCTCCTCCTGGGTCCTTCTCCTCCTCTTCATCCTCCTCCTCTTCCTCCTCAGTCCTCAGTCTTCCTCAGTCCTCCTCCTCATCCTTCTCCTCAGTCCTCCATCCTCCTCCTCAGTCCTCCCCCAGTCCCCCTCCTCCTCCTATTCAATCCTCCTCCTCCTCCTCCTTCTCAGTCCTCCTCAGTCCTCCTCCTCCTCCTCCTCCTCTTCCCTCTCAGTCATCCTCCTCAGCCATCCTCCTCAGTCCTCCTCAGTCCTCCTCCTGGGTCCTCCTCCTCCTGGGTTCTCCTCCTCCTCTTCAGTCTTCATCCTCCTCCTCTTCCTCCTCGGTCCTCAGTCCTCCTCCTCCTGGGTCCTCCTCCTCATCCTTCTCATCAGTCCTCCTCCTCCCCAGTCCTCTCCCAGTCCCCCCCTTCTCCTCCTCCTATTCAGTCCTCCTCCTCCTCCTTCTCATTTCTCCTAAGTCCTCCTGAGTCCTCCTCCTGAGTCCTCCTCCTCTTCCTTCTGAGTCCTCCTCCTGAGTCCTCCTCCTCCTCCATCTCAGTTATCCTCCTCAGTAATCCTCCTCAGCCATCCTCCCCAGCCATCCTCCTCAGCCATCCTCCTCAGTACTCCTCAGTCCTCCTCCTTCTCAGTCATCGTCAGTCCTCCTCCTCAGTCTTCCTCAGTCCTCCTCCTCCTCCTCCTGGGTCCTCCTGGGTCTTTCTGATCCTCCCCAGTCCTCTTCCTTCTCCCCTCCTCAGTCCTCCTCCTACTCTTCCTCCTCGTCCTCAGTCCTCCTCATCAGTCCTCAACAGTTCTCCTCCTCCCCAGTCCTCCTCCTCCTCGGTAATCCTCCTCAGCCATCCTCCCCAGCCATCCTCCTCAGCCATCCTCTTCAGTACTCCTCAGTCCTCCTCCTTCTCAGTCATCGTCAGTCCTCCTCCTCAGTCTTCCTCAGTCCTCCTCCTTCTCCTGGGTCCTCCTCCTGGGTCCTCCTCCTCCTGGGTCCTCCTCCTTCTGGGTCCTCCTTCTCCTCCTCAGTCCTTCTCCTCCTCCTCCTCAGTCCTCTTCCTCCTCTTCCTCCTCCTCCTCCCTCTCAGTCATCCTCCTCAGTCATCCTCCTCAGCCATCCTCCTCAGCCATCCTCCTCAGTCCTCCTCCTTCTCAGTCCTCCTCAGTCCTCCTCCTCTTCAGTCATCCTCCTCAGTTCTCCTCCTCCTCCTCCTAGGTCCTCCTTCTGGGACCTCCTCCTCCTCTTGGGTCTTCCTGATCCTTCTCCTCCCTCTCAGTCATCCTCCTCAGTCATCCTCCTCAGTCATCCTCCTCAGTCATCCTCCTCAGCCATCCTCCTCAGCCATCCTTTTCAGCCATCCTCCTCAGTACTCTTCAGTACTCTTCAGTACTCTTCAGTCCTCAAAATGTTTGTCCACCAATGTCCGCTAATGTCCACCAATGTCCATCCAAGTCCGCCAATGTCCGTCCGGGTCCGCCAATGTCCGTCCGAGTCCGCCAATGTCCGTCCGAGTCCGCCAATGTCCGTCCGAGTCCGCCAATGTCCGTCCGTGTCCGCCAATGTCCCAAAAAACACGTCCGTTGTCTCATAGAATCCAAAAAGGACAGGACATAGGCGGACATAGACGGACATGACACCCCCCCCCCCCCCCCCCCCCCCTATAGATATGGATTCTGGATAATAAAATGTTTATTTTTTTGCATTGTTCCCAGTTTTAAACGAAACGTTCTACATTTTACTTACTACATAAGTACATATTTACTCAACATGTGTGAAATTGAGTAAATATTAGTATACCAACTTAAACACCCTATATTACGCACTATGGATCAATTAACAATATTTCAACCATACGCCGGTCATATAAATTATAATATGGCAGTGATATGTTAACATTGGATAAATTTCAACACCTGAACAGGGTAAAAATTTGTAAATTTCGTCACAAACAAAATATTATAACTTTATTTGCTCCGTGTTGGCAAAATAACTAATTTATCGACATAGTGATGGTGATAAAGTAACATTATATACTAATTGAGGTATGATTCTTTTCTGCATAGCATAATATTTTAATTCAAATTATATTTTGGTAATTTTTTAACTTGTTATTCAATTGTTAATTCGTATTTCAATACTCAATCTTATCGTATAGATATGGATTCTGGATGATAAAATGTTTATTTTGTAATTGTTGCATTGTTCCCAGTTTTAAACGAAACGTTCTACATTTTACTGTGTTTTATTTTGTAAAATATAAAATCCATCCGCATAAAATTATTTCGCCGTCTCCAAAATCATAAATCCATTTTCGTTCCATATTATTTTTGATCAATTTCCTTCACTGTTCAACTATTCGTGATATCATTCCACATCACTATTCACCCTCACCCTAGCTAGATCATGTCCGAGGAGCCTCCCCCCTACAGTAAACCTCTTCCTCCCCCAATCGGGCAGATCACCTACTCTTCAGTCTCTGCTCCCCCTCTCCCGGAGTATGAACAGGAGTACACTGAACCCACTCAACCCATCACAGGTTTGATATTTCTAATCTTATGTGGAGATATGAAACGTCGTATTTCATTTACAGTTCACTTTCAGTTTCATTTATCACCTATTTGGCTGTTATCTCTTGAGTGACGTGTACACAATTGTAAGAAATTAGCAAAGTTCGCCTGCCAAGTATCTATAGGTAAGGTCTGTGGTGTGAGGAATTTCTCCAGTCACCCCAAATTTTCATTTGATGTAATTGTAAGTTAACACATATATTCAGGTGATTGGGGTTGATCACCTGAGAATGTAATGTTAAGGGGGCAGGGGGGTCTTCGTCAAAATTATCTCGAAATTGATTTTATAGCTGTTTATAATAGAGGGGAGTGATATCTATGAACTGCTTTTGGTCCCATGGAAAAAAAATTTTCCTAGCCGAAATTATCGCTGGTCAAAGGTCAGCGCTTTAATATGTTTAATTGTATTGGGAACATCGGATTTTTTTGATGCTTCAGCTTGACATGAAATTGTTCATTGAATCCTGGTGCATTTTTTGATGCCCTCAAAAATGTGTTTATTCAACTGAAAAGTTGATCTTTTGCACCTCAAAGCCAAACAACAAATTTAAGCACATTTTTCGTTTTTCATAATTTACAGATTTAAAAAAATTTCAACTCGATACCTCTGAAAGAAATGATAAGCTTCTAGCCTCTCCATGAAACAAATTGTGTTTTTGCATTTTGACTACAGAAATGAGTGTTCTCGAAATCAAATGTTTTGCATTTTTGGTTGGAATCGGTGCGCTAGGCCTAGATGTGAGATGGTAACTGAACTTTCTGTGAGGTCATTTGGGTTGGCCGACACAAACCCCTGTTTTAGTGTATACATGCACTATACTCCCTTAAGTTGCCCAATAGAAAACATTATCTGTACTACAACTATATGATGTAAGAGGTTCGCTATTTTTTATATATAATAGTGACTATCATGATAGTCATACGAAGAGAAACGTTGTGCCTGTGGTGCATCTCGCTGATCTACCGAAGTGCATCGCGCTACAAACAGATTGGAGAAACGCTGATTGGTCGGCTAGAGAACTGTGGTATCAAAAACCAATAAAATGATCTCGCATAATATACGTAGAGCGTGAAAAATGCACAGCAAATTTTTCTTATTACCAACTGATAAATATTACTGGCTTTTAAAATTAAAACTGGAAAAAGTATCTGTTCCCAACAAAGACTGTGAAACTGTTGATCCTCGCCCAGCATGAGCAGCTGTCTTCATGTTTATGTCGATATACTGTTATTCATAGTTGGTTCGTGCGCACTTAACGTACTTTTAAAACATAACGCACTTAACGTACGAAAAAACGTAAAACGCACTTTTACCTACCCTCGCTGGGCCATTTGCGGTTTTTTCATTTTTGAATACACAGTTCAACTTCAAAACATCAGACAGTGTTATTTCCAAGATTTCACATAAACTGTCATTGGTGAGCCTTACAGTAGCTATTTTTGGAATGCCAGTGTGCGTGTGCAGTGTTGCGGGCGTTGCCTTCAAGTGTTTTAATTGTTTGTCTCTCCAGTCTACAGAAAATGCTGGTGAATTCAACGGTAAACGTAGTTAAACGCACTTTTAACGCACGAAATAATTCAAACGCACTTTACGTACTTTTCCCGAAAAATTGACGCACGAACCAACTATGCTGTTATTGAAATGTAATTTATGAAGTCCTTAACTTCTACCTCGTATTCTATCTTTGTATTTGTCTCTGAATTCCTGGACATTTCAAAGTATTAAGTATGGCACACCTGTTTACTGTTTACCAGTTTAGAAGCTGTCACCACTCGCCACAGTGATGATGGTTGTGATTGTGACTCATAGCCAAGCCCATTCAATTAGCACTCGATAATATTCTTAACATACAATAGTGTATATGTGCATGCATATTGCATAATGCATAATGCATATTGTATATTGATATCAACCCGGAGTTTCTCATTGTGATCCTCACCATACCAATCTTTAGGTGCGGTTTCATATCAAATATTTACCGGCAAATTAAAGCTTGGAATGATATTTATAACTTTGGTTAACAAATGCAAACGGCGGATTCCATTACAATTATGTTAGCTTGGGTACTTACTATACAGGTGACATGTACATGTCCATTTAATTCCATACGGTCAGATCTCGGGGCCGATCTCATGTTAGATCAAACTTGAAGGATTTAGTAGTAGTACCGCGACGGGTAAATAAAGAAACATGAGTTGAATACTTTTAAACGTCTACCAACAAACCAATATGTGAGCATCTATATTTTACAACGAGTACGACTAAGTAGATTCTCTGTTCTGATGAGTAATTGGATGAATAGCAGGAAGTTGAGTTATGACTTTAAAGGTTGGGGCGTATGGGCACCTGGAGAAAAATTGCTCTGGAAAGTTTTCCCCATCAGCTTTAATTTATCTTATTCTTTCCCTAACTAATATATCAATAGACAGTTTTTGGGTTTTCCAAATAGTTTCTGATTATTCTGATTTGCGACAAATGATATTGCACTGTTAGGATAAACGACGTTTCAAAGTAACAACTTCTTATTCATGCTCAAATTATTTGTTATATAGTAGTGTTGAAAGTATTAATATATCAATATACCATAACCATAGAGTATAGACACCATAGGACAACTCTATGTTAATCTTCCTGTATAACATGACAGTAAGACGAACCGTTTCTCAGAGAAGGTAGCAGCGACGGTAGTGCTACAGCAAGCACCAGTCCAACAACAGATAGTTGTGCAGCAAGCACAGGTCCAACCTAGAGCTGCTGCATCTCCAAGATCCGCTTGTGAGTGCTTTTTAAACAGAAGATACTCTGACTCAGTGTGTTTAGTATAGAGTCTGTACCTAGCTGCCGGATGTATGTATAGGTTTTGAAACTAGGAAACTGCCGTGTGAATAGATTCCGGAGCTTCTTTCGGATAAAGCTTATCTACTCCAAGTATAGTAGTACCTACTAAGAACTACTATAACTATTAGATCTTTCTTAGATTCAATAATAACTCCTCCCCGGGCAGGTACCACCTCTCTAAACATAGTAATGTTGATAGCACTGTTAGTGATAATACCGGCTGGAGCAGTTATGTGGTACCTGGGCTCTGTTAGAGGGGAAACAGGTCTTAAAATAGCTGGAATCTGTTTACAGGTCTGTCTTTTAAATGATATTTTGATAATATTAATATGATTTGATTATCCAGTCGTCTTATCACAGGTTCATTTATATAAGTATATTTAACTACTTACTGACTACTGATCTGGATTCTGATTCTTTTTTTCCCGTTTAAATACTGTTTGTTATCATGCCACTTATCAGAAGTTATCTTATTTATATCTTCTCAGGGGTTCAGTTTTGTGGTGGTAGAACTACTACAACTGCTCTGGTATCTCCATGAAAAGAACGCATTTCTACACGCTAATCTCACCTTAGTTCGGCAATAATACCACAATAGGGTGTTGGAATCATCATTTCTAAATAAATGTTGGATACCAAGATATCAAGAAATTACAAAAGACGGTACTATACCGAGATCAGAATATGAAACAGTGAATCTTACTTGGTGACTAATTTTGGTATGATATGTACGCGTACGAGACTGGGCCTGGATGGCCCACGAGAGTTAGAGATTGTTGCGACCTAAAATGAGAATTACTTTATATGGGGCTCAATCTGTTGGTGCATTGAAATACACTTAATAACGTGTAAATTATTAGAAATACTAGCTTACCAGTTTATTGATCAAAATAACATTGGAATAGACATTTTTGTTTAATAGTTTATTGATCATGATTGCTTTTGAAACTGACCGAAAACGGTGGACACAGCTTTGTTCTGTCAATGGCTATTTGTCTTGATAAATTTGTTACAACGGCACCGAGTTTAACTCCAGTAAAGTTCAGTGTTATCGTTAATAGCAAGTCGTCTTATTTGTGAAAAGGTATTCACATGGGGACAATCATACACAATTGTATCAAATCTTATACACGCTAATCTCACCTTAGTTCGGCAATAATACCACAATAGGGTGTTGGAATCATCATTTCTAAATAAATGTTGGATACCAAGATATCAAGAAATTACAAAAGACGGTACCTACTATACCGAGATCAGAATATGAAACAGTGAATCTTACTTGGTGACTAATTTTGGTATGATATGTACGCGTACGAGGCTGGGCCTGGATGGCCCACGAGAGTTAGAGATTGTTGCGACCTAAAATGAGAATTACTTTATATGGGGCTCAATCTGTTGGTGCATTGAAATACACTTAATAACGTGTAAATTATTAGAAATACTAGCTTACCAGTTTATTGATCAAAATAACATTGGAATAGACATTTTTGTTTAATGGTTTATTGATCATGATTGCTTTTGAAACTGACCGAAAACGGTGGACACAGCTTTGTTCTGTCAATGGCTATTTGTCTTGATAAATTTGTTACAACGGCACCGAGTTTAACTCCAGTAAAGTTCAGTGTTATCGTTAATAGCAAGTCGTCTTATTTGTGAAAAGGTATTCACATGGGGACAATCATACACAATTGTATCAAATCTTATTGAATAATAATCGGTATTATTTTCAAGACAATAATATGATAGTGTCATTGTGCGCGATAGAGCAATAGAAATTAAAACATTTTGAAGTGTAAGAGTGTCGCCTACGCCGTACATTTAGTGAGTCATCCTGTTTCACTACATTACATTTCACTACATTTCATTACATTTTACTACATTTCACTACATTAAATTTCACTACATTTCATTACATGGCTGATGGCATCAATACAAAATCCTTGAATTTTTAAGTCTCTGGTCGTGTGTACCTGGTCTCCAAAATGCAAAGCTGTATGACCAGCTTCTATAAAAGGTATTTTTGGTGGCTCCACTCTTTGATACGCTCACTAATTCAATAAATTAAAGACCATCGTGATTCGCGGGCATGATTGATGATGAATTTATTAAATCCACTTAAAAATCACGGCTTAATATCCTGTGACTGTAGTTCTGGACTCTACTTTGGGACGTACTTTAGTTAGACAGCTAAATTTTGCTGGAAATCGCCTTTGTTGAAATCGCTGCGACGCTGCGTGTCAAAAATGGCTACGTGTGGAACTAGAATTAAACGTGTACCAGCTGTCTGCTGAGCAGTGGCGTAACGAAGGGCCCCGCTGTGCGGAGGGGGGAGGGGCCGTCGTAGGGGGCGCCAAATCGTCGTTTGAAATTGAATGTTATGTGGAACAATTTCGAAAACTTAATTAAAGTACCAGCAAAACTGCGCGTTTTGCTCTAGATCGCTCCTTGTCCTACTAAATCGCTCGCCCAAATTTTAAGATAATTCTTGTAAAAAGGCCCTTTGGGCATGAAAGTGATCTAAATCGGAGTATTTTTGGACGCTGATTCCGATCATCGCCCCCCACCCCCATGACGTAGGGTAAAAACACTTCCTTGGAGAGTTATGGGCTTGGGTTAGGGTTGTGGTAAGGGTTATGGTTAGCTTCGGGGTTATGCATTATGGTTAGGGTTAGGGTCGGGATTCCGATTAGGGTTTATGTATAAAATCGTTTTGTACGGCTGCAAAACCATAAAAACCAAAGTCACGTGACATTTTTGGGCGAGCGAATTAGTAAAAGCCGCTCCAGATACACACTTTTTTAGAGATTTTACCGACGTATTCTCTAAAATCACCTAATTTGTTCAATTTTAGGGAGGGGCGCCTTTTCGGCGGGGGGGGGGGGGCGCCAACAGGCAACGTTACGCCACTGCTGCTGAGTGATGTACCTATTCTCAAAACAACCCACGACAAGTTCTGAAAAGTTCTTCAGTCGCTTGACCAAGATAAGTTACGTGAATTGCAACCCTTTATAACGTGATCTCCAGTGGTCAATCAAATCAGCTGAGACAACATCTCTCCCTCGTCCGCGAATACGATAAAATACTGGATTTTGGAAATGGTTCTTTTGTCTCTTATCTGATCTGCAATCTGCGTAGGAGAATATAGCCTTTATTTTACAATATGATTTATTGATACAGAGCGTGACGTTGTTTGATGTTTCTGTTTTATATAATACTGCCCATCCCATTTTTCCTTTATCATGTAGCAGAGTATTTAAGTTTGGATGCAGTTTTATTGATTCACACCTGATAAGGCATTTGACTGGGCTCGTCAGAAATGCAGGGAACCATGAAATTCTTTAAAACACTCCTTTTTTCCCTCCATCTGTCTGGGAATCTCTCTCGCCCTTACTTTAGCTCACAGGTTATTTGAGAATCTGGATCATGTGACCCTCTCTATGACCTTATAATGTGCACTTTTCTCATTCCCCCCCGCGACTCAGAGAGGTCCGATATAGAGAGGTATCACTATCACGATGACACTTTCTGCAAATTCAAAACAATAAGAAGAAATAAAAAGAACTTTGGGTGCAATCTGTTTTTATCACTTTATCACAGAAAACAAAGAACCATTTACGAGCTATTTATGGACAAGTAAAAACTGCACTGGAAGTTTTTTCGAGAATTCTTTGTTTTTGTTGCGTGTTATCATATTGCTGGACCACTTAAATTCTTATAAAACTGTACGGATTTTCTCAGTTCCCATTGGTCGTGTGTTATAGTCATGTGATAGTTCATTTTTTGGGGGAAAACTGTTTCTTTCTTCTTTTTTTGTTATCTTGATTTTCCAGTTTTTGTGCTTTAAATTGCGTTTTTGCTATATTCTATTTCTATGGAAACGATTGATCATTTAGAAAAGGGACCCATAAAAACTCACTCTCACTTTATGACTTTAGCCAAAGACCGTTGAGATCTCTCGTTCCGATCAGCCATTAGTAACGACTAAGTTGTAAGTCTTATCGCTCGTGCGCGGCACCCGACTACCATGAGCCTTATGGCTACAGAAATGTGGGCTAACACTGTTCTATCGGAGCCCAAATGTTATTGTTATTTGCTTGAATAACCCATATAATTTCCCCTTGAATGTTGAAATTATATTGAATCTTATACCATTTCTTTAGAAATTTTTGTTTCAACTCATAACGAATAATTTTCCTTACGACTACCCCTATATATAACTAAAGAAAATATGTACCATCAGGAAGTAATGGTTGAACAACAATACACGGTCATTCATTTTGTGATTTCACTCATTCTGAGCGTGACAGCTGGTCCTGATATTGATGACTGTAAGTTATTTTAATAGAGATTTATCTTTTATAAACGTTTAGATTTAGATGTAGCTATTGGTAAAGTACTCTGCGTCTACTTCTCAATATCGTAGTACTAGTAACACCTTGTTAATATCAAAGTTAGCAACTTTTCTCATTTTGCGTTAAAATTAGAAACTATTCAACAAAATTGCAAAATTTAACAAATTAATCAAAATTAATTTTACAGTTGGCAATACGTGTGAGATTAAAGAAATGCATGGCTTTCTTCAAGCTGTATGCAGTATTTACCACGGTATTACCATGTACAAGTGCCCATTTTCTCCGACACAATATTATGTTCTGGAAAAACTAAGCTTCTCCAAGCAAGACACCTTCAGTACGATCTGTCCTAACGATCCGCTTGGATATCAGGTTTTTCTTATTTATTTCATTGAATTCTGTGAAATATTTTGCCGTTTTCTAATCGAAACTCGACAATTTGTTTAGTTTTTGTTGGATTAAGCCCGTGGTTATATCAAAGATCACGAATATTACAGGGCCACCATTCACAGTACACCCTTATTTATCAATTTGGTTTACTATTTTACTAAATATGAGAATTTCTCTGAAACCCTCCTCCGATCAGGTATGCGGCTCCACACCCAGTATGGTAATCTCTCCAGATAAGTACTCTGCCTGTGGGTCTCTGCTTTGTAAACCACTAAATACCAGCACTAATTCTTACGAACCCAAAACTGTCATTGATATATGCTCCAACAATACAATTTGCCCGAATCTTCCCGATTTGGAGGAGATAGGCTGTTCTTCAACCGGCATCGTGAAATTGATGAGCGATAGAATTTGTAACGATGTTTGTGATGATTTTGACTGTGAGGACGAGAGTGAATGTAACGGATTTAGATACGGGATCATGTGTCAACCAATTCCATATCACGTGAGCACGGCTAACATTTGCGATGGAACCACTCACTGTTTGGGGAAAGTAATGAATGATAAAGTTGGACGTCAATATATAGACCCAGCATATATAAATTTTAAGTTAGATCCCAATCTAGGTGTTGACGAGATTTATTGCCGAGCTGCAATACAAAAGGGTATGCCCTGGTGCGTAAGTGGAACAGATAACCGGAAGATAGTCCCTATATTCAACTTCACCCGGTGTGCCGCTATTTCCTACAACCGCGATAGAATAGCAACCGGCAAACCACAGCCTTATTGTGCTAACTTTCACGACCAGACAAACTGCACAGATACCAGTAAGGTTGCAGGAAGATGTCACGTGACGGGTTATGGAGTGAGCACTATCTCCAACGGTGTGGTGTGCAGGGGCAAGCAACTAGAAGTGGGTATCTGCACCAACCTGATGGACATTCAGTGTCACACCCTGTACCCTGGCTGTACTGTTCACAAGCACCAGCTCTGTGATGGGGTTCACGACTGTTCTGATGGAAGTGATGAGCTTGTTGCTGCTTGTAAGGATATGAGTATACAGAAGTGCTTGCGGAGTTTCAAGCACAATGCTGAGTTGCAGATACCTGTACTGTGGATAGTAGATGGTATTTCTGATTGTGTTGATGGTGTTGATGAGAATTTATCTCTTTGGCCGACTTGCGGAAGGTTTGGAAGCGAACGGTATGTTAGAGATAACTCGACATGTCATGATATTTTCTTATGCATGGATGGAGCAATTCGGTTTATTAAAATGAACGAACTTTGTGATGGAATCGAAACATGCGGTAATGAAAACAAACTCTGCAGAATAAGCCGAGGAACACTTACCTTCTCCACGTCAAAGCAAACAATCGGATCTTCAAAATTTCTAAGCTACTGTATCGCTGGTCTTGAAGATATGCAGCGTAAGATAGGTTCATGCACATCTCAACCGTTTGACAAGTTCCGAGAAGACATATACGGCTTACCTCGAGAAAGGAATAGTATATCGTACCCTCAAGTAATGACAGACTGTAACCATTTCTTTGGTGATGCTTATCTGTATCTCAGTTGTCTGGGAACGTGTCAGAACTCCAAGTGTCCCCTGGTACGGAAGGTGACATACAGTGAGTGTAAAGAACAGTTCGAGGCTAACAGAGTCTACACCTTGGTCAATAACCAGTACCTCACCTTCGTTGTCAAGAAAGCTGGGGTCTACCACAATGATTTCTTTGTCTGTGAGAACGGGATCTGTGTGGAGTACGATAAAGTTTGCAACCTGGTGGATGACTGTGGAGACGGGTCGGACGAGTGGAGCTGCAGTAACCATTACCAATGCGACGAAAATCGCACTTACATTGCACTTACCCAGCGATGTGATGGCAAGGTTAATTGTGAAGATTGGTCTGATGAATGCAATGATCAATGTGGCACACAGATAATTAACGGCGTAGTACTGAAAGGCTCTGCTTTTGCAATCAGTTTTATAGCAATAGTGTTCAACATAGTCGTTCTGATTGAAAGCAGTTTGGACTTGCAGAAAGGGAACAGCAGGCGGCTGACCCTCATCAATAAGATCTTGGTTGCAATGATAGGTCTCGGTGATTTAGTGATGGGAATATACCTATTTTCATTAGCCGTAACAGACATTATATACGGTACGTCGTTCTGTAGGGAACGAACCAAATGGCTCACCAGTAGATACTGTTCAATACTGGGTGTTATCAGTACGATTGGGAGTCTTATATCTCTCTTCTCTTTAACTCTTCTCAGTCTGTCTCGGGTTATTGGTATTAAGAGCAGCGTGATGCAGGCCAATCCTGGGTCCAGCGGGAAGACTCGCAGCTACAGAGTTGTACTTTTATCAAAACTAATTCTGTGTCTGGCTGGTCCTTTGGTGCTCGTTACAACACTCATAGCCACTGCACCACTTTTCCCTGTATTTGAAGACTTTTTTGTCAATGGGTTGGTCTACGATCCAGATATAAAGCTGTTTATTGAACCCATAGGGAAAGACACGCACTTTGACTTAATTGCAGGATACTTTGGAAGAGCAAAAAGACAGGACATAAAGTGGTCACTGATAGTCAGTCTTGTGAGGAAAATGTTTTCCAGTGACTATGGAAACTTAGACGGCAAAGTGCATCAGGTTGATTTCTATGGAAATGACGGAGTCTGTCTGTTCAAATATTTTGTAAACAAACATGATCCTCAGAGAGTTTATAGCCTGTCTGTCCAGGTTATCAACATTATATGTTTCGTTATAGTGGCTGTCTCTTACATCATCATTAATACAACAACCATCAATACATCAAACCTGCTGACAAAGACTAATAACCCCACTGCTAAGTTGATTAGAAAAAGAAATAAAAAACTGCAAAGAAAAATTGCAGCAATTATCGCAACGGATTTTGTTTGTTGGATCCCTTTTGTTGTTATTAGCGGTTTGCACTTCCTCGAGGTTACAGATGCTTCTAAACTTTATGGAATCTTCTCTATTGTAATACTCCCTATTAACTCGGTTATCAACCCGTTCTTGTACAGTAAATATATAAGTTTATATGCTGTTAAACTCAACCCTACAAGTTATCTTGTGTCCAGATACTCTAAATTCAGAAAAAGAAGACAGTTAAGATGTCGAAAAGAGGGAAGAAGTGGTGAAATTCAGATGCAAGACATGATTGGAAGCAGCGATAATAAAGTGAAAACTACGGGTAGGGTGGCTGGGCCGGGTCTCCAGGTCACGCCATTATGATAAGTTTAAAAACACGACCCTAATTCAATATTTTCAAACATGGTTCAACTCAACACTGACTTCTTCTGGAGGGGGATTTGTTTGAAACATATAAGTGATACGAAAAGTTTTTTAGCACTGACTTCTTCAGTTTTTTTAAAACATTTAATCCTCTCAAGGACAAAATCTCTCGGGTAATGATAATTTATATAATCATAGCGTTTGTTATATCTTTACATATTTATGTACATTATACATGACATATCTAAACATATCTAATGTCTATGTTCTCTATCTATAAGTGAATTCTTATCATTTTTTTCTGGATGTGCTTGAAAATCCATTAAGTCACTGTCGAAGTATCCAATGCCCATTTACAGACCGTACTTACCAATTAGCAAAGTACAGCATGTGTTGGGAGATTGTGTAATTGTGCCTACATAACCATATATGGTATTTGATCCTGTTTAATAATAACAAGCAATAATTATAATTATAATTATAATTATAAATATAATTATAATTATAATTATAACAAGTAATCATGTTACCTTTGAATTCCGTGCCAGTTGCCACCAATACAAATATTATCATTTCTTAACAACAAACACGAACAACTATGATTTGGAAGTACAAAATTACATAATGCGGAACTCAAAAACACAAATACTAGATCAAATTTAAAATGTATTTAAAATTAAAAACATAATAATCAAGCAAACATGTTTCTCTTTTACAGATCCAAGAATAACAAACAGTCGCTTATGGATTATCACGACACAGCCGATCGTACATCAGTTTTATTACAGATGTGGATTGTGGTGGGGAGGTGAGGCATATTTCGCTGACACGTGGTATCACTTAATCAATGAGCGTTTACTATTGACCGATCAAAACCCAGAGTCACTGTCACGTGTACAAAAATGTGCCTCACCTCCCCACCAGAATCCACAGACAGATGGACAATAACTCAGCGTCCTACCACGGACTTAAACCCTGATTCTCATCTTATTTGTAACCAACCAACTTTCTATCAGTGGTTTATAAATTATAATTGACCTTTCAGTCAGCTAGAGTCTTATCAGCAGACAAGATCTGTTCCTTGACCGTCTGGCTGCAGATGGGGCAGTGGTGTATTGGCTGTTGGAACTTCTTAAACACGTGAGGGATAAAACACAGGCTGAAATAGATTATAGTTTAGTTTATTCAGTTCAAATCCTGACTTGATAACATGAAGATTCAAGATTGTAGAGTTAGTTAAGTTGTCTCTCAGTTGTATTAAAAATCACATACTTATCCCAGGGATGAAAGATTGTTGGTTGAACCGACGTTGGGATATCACAGTGCTGGCAAGCACGACCGTTGCATTTATTGTGGGTATACTATGTACCCCATTTACTATTATACCCCCTTTGGTACACGTTACAAGCCTCTTTCGTGCACGCGAAGCGTGCACTCCGGCCGGAGGCGGCGGCCGAAGGCCGCCGCCTCCGGCAGGAGTTTTTCAGGCATTAAGACTCATCGGAAGTCGTTCGACAGATTTATTTTTAGTTCAAAACATTCTAATTTGATGCCAAAGATGACACGAATAAAAAATAGTTATGTTGAGATTTTTAAGAAATTTGCATAAAATACTCGCCAGCACTGTTATACGAAATTCGGTAAAAAACCCAAAATCGCCATATTCAGGTGCCTTAAAAACCATGTTACAATTGAGTTAGAGATCTGAAATTTTTTAGGACGTCTAGACGTTGACCAAATCGATTGCAAAAAAAGTTTCAAGTTTCAGGAGCATCGGGAAATGGGTTTTCTAGAACCCCTGTTTTACGACAGATTGTCGTGATACATACATACATACATATATTCAGGGATAGACGCTTTGCCAGTCAATTATAGGCTACATTCAGGTGTCTGTAGATTTGTACCTATAAAAGATACAGCCATTTCCGACCACAGGTCTTGCAAATAATTGTTTACACTTTAGTTTACATTGTATAACAAAATTATTTGACGTCATAAACACCCCTTGATGACGTCATCAAGTTAACCGTTTTTAAAACTTGATTTTTGACAAAGTAATAACTTTTAAAATCAATTTTAAACCATTAAGATGTAATTTTATTCAAAATCTGAGGAAATTTTCACCCTAGATAATTGTTCAAGCATTCTGAAAATCTACCGGAAAGTTTTTCTAGCTTGCTCCTTCATAAAGATATTCGTTATTGAAGTTTGTGCTTTTTTGAAGAATCATTTTATAAAAACGTCAATTTTGCGATTTAGTATTCTCTGGTGTTGGGCCATGCCTTGGGTTGTGGAGCTCATTTCTGCTTCTTATAGGTATAAATTGTGCATTAGGCTAGTTTTAAAGTTGAAAATCGAAAAGTTGCACACGTGGGGACACGCCCAAATTGAAAGAAAATTGCTAAAATCACTGAAAATTGCTGTTTTCTTCATTTTCTGTCAACTTTAGAGTGCCGTTGTGATTACAGTTCTTCTTGAAATACTTTGAAACTTTGCATGCTTATCAAGCTATATATAAAACAATTACATGCAAAAATTTACGGCGATTCAATATTGTATGCGCACGCAACGTCCGCTCAAAGTTTGCACGTGCGAAAGGTGAGAATTTTGCTCATTCGTGATTTCCAACAAATTCTGCTTTGCCACGACAGTTTTATGTCATTATATATATTTAATGCCAACTTGAATAAGTATTAAGTGGCATATTCAGTCAGTGATCGACCGATATGCTTCCCTAAACACAAGGATATGTTTTTAAAGGAAAAATTTCGAAATCGTTGAAACTTCCTCCTTATTAATGAAGATATCAGTTTATATTTCGACTTTATAAAGTACCCTGACATTATAATCAAAAAGAGATGATATTTTACCAAAACCCATAATCATGGGTAGAGTGGACCGCTGCCAGTGTCTCTCTTTCCCAAACAAAAGGAAATGATATTAACTTGATTGACCGTTCTCAAATGCAAAATGATACCGAGAATGAAATCGGTCGCTCGCTTTTCCCATTCATTTACAATTGTAATAGATTAAGAAGAACTACCCAAAGGCAGCTGTACTCGGCAATGAAGATTTAATAAACTCCAGCTTGTTCAATAAGTAATAACTACCACCCTTGTCCCTTACCCCGAAATACTAGGTATCGACCCGAACGCAACCCAAAGAGATTTTTACAGCATCTGATTGATGTAATCAATCGAAACTTATTTATACAATTCGTAAGCCGTGAATGAATGGGAAAAGCGAGCGACCGATTTCATTCTCGGTATCATTTTGCATTTGAGAACGGTCAATCAAATTAATATCATTTCCTTTTGTTTGGGAAAGAGAGACACTGGCAGCGGTCCACTCTACCCATGATTATGGGTTTTGGTAAAATAGACTCATGATAATTTAACAGTAGGGTAACTATGGGGGGCCGGGGTTCCAACCTTATTGGAATGAGGCAGAATTAGGTCGGAACAACCCCCGGCCCCCAGCCCCTCCCCCCAACTATGATAACATGTGTAGAGAATAGGAGGCGGTGAATTTTGAAATTGTTTTTAAAGTTCTCAATCTAAATAAACCTACCAGCAAGGCATCAAGAGCAAGGTGCACATGTAGGTGAAGTAGGTCTTCCGGTGGATAACGTTAGTCATGATGTTCTCACCACAATGCTGACACGTCGTCTGAACCTGGGTGTGCTGTCTGATCTTCTGTGTCATCTGAAGGTCATATATTAGGTCATATATTAGGTAATGTAAATAATAAGGTGATACTATATCGAATGGAACGGGCTTTCTTTCCTCAAACTTCACTTACATTAAGAACTAATATTTATCAGCGACTAGAGAGATGGACTTTATTACGTAGACTGTATTAGCACCAATATCTTCATTTTAGAATGACGCACTTAGCAAATTTAACTCCATGAAGGTCCCATGAAACTCGTGTGACAGTGTTGCACGTGTTCCATGATGGAGTTACTAGGTTACATTAGTGGTGAGCCTGACACCCGCCACGTTAACAATTGAGATCAAAGTTTTCCTAATCTTCAGTATACTGAAGATTAGTAGCACTCTATCATCTACGTTATTAGTCGCTAGCGTCTGTGTCTAAAGCTTACTTGTAGAGCAAATTGGTAAAAATGATGTAATGATGTAATGTCAAAGTTTATATGAGGGAAATTCCCAATAATAGAACAAAAATGGTTAATGTTCTTCGTTTTATAATTGTATTAGTGCCACCACCATTCTTAGCAGCAACAAATAAGACAATTTTGTTATATAATAGTCATTGTAGTTTGTATGTTTGATGGTTGTGGCCTCATGAGATGGTGTGGGAGTGTGAGGGGTATTATTATAGGACAAGTTATACAACTCCCGCCATTCTCCATCTTCACTCTCCTTTCGTAACCCTCGGCTCTCTAACACACATTCTACAGTTACACAGATTGCCATGGTGAACATTCAGTCTAGATCAAAGTTTGTCTGACCTATCTGTTTGCTTCTTGTTTTTTATTCCTAAGTCGATCAGGAACTGTGCTTTCCGATATCGACCGTCTTGAAATTTGCGTGTTGAAGTTTGAACGGCAGGTTATATTCAACATAAAATCGTCGGTTTTGCTCGACAGGCAAAAGTAATATTTGATAACACTCAAAGTGAGACACGTTGTTAAGATGTTTTGGTTGAGAGGAACCCGGTTCAACTGCTACAAAGTCCTCACATCCTTTGTTTTTATCTTTACTGTCGCCTCGTTCTTCTTGTCTCTGTGGCTCAGAGCTAACTACGGTGAGTCGAGTATATAATATTATATTTATATACGTCACGTACCACTATCATGTATACATCACACATGTCTGTAGAATTCAAAACAAGTGCCGTAATTCTAAGTCGTTGTCGGTTGTCTACTGGCTATTCATTTTTTCAATCGATATAAATATTAGCTCGATTAAATCAACATGGAGTTGCTCATGGTTGAAAGTTACAGATATATACACTATAGAGTATACACTACTGTATTATTATAGCCCTCACTGAATCACAATCTATAAATCATACCTATACACATTTTTTCCTTTTCACCCTTTTGAAAAAAGGCAATAGTGAAAGGTTACGAATGGAGGTTTTTGCAGAAAAACGTGGATTTTGGAGAACGAGATAGGTGGGTTTAAATATGTCGTGTGTCCTTCCTTCCTTCCGTTCGTTACCATGCAACGAAAAAGTTGGGCGCGCGCGAGGATTGCTTGCGGAGATGTGATGTATAGATAGCCTGTGATCTATGAATGCGCGGCGCGACTGTGTTTTAATGTATATGATGCATGTAATGTATAATATTACTATTAGGTAATACGCCCAATTTGTACGTGGCACGCGTAGTGTATTGATGTTTACACGAGTATAGTTTACCTTTGCTGATAATTTCTTGAATTACAGATACAAGTTAAGTTCTACGGCAACTGAATTTCAAGTGTTTCCCGTATTTGATGCATAATTTATCAATATAATTATCATGAAGATTGAAGTGAGCTGATTGGAGCTTATACTTAAATTTATAGTAAATGTGAAATGGAAATCTAGCGTCCGCCAAAACGAAACAACGGGCGCAATTCTTGTTCATAAATAGTATCTGCATTGTGTATACGAGTATACGATTACGTCTGTACGGTGTAATATGCAGTATAATGAGCAATAAAAGCCCACAATTCTCAGGTATAATCCAAGTATCGACGACCCTGACACCGACCCAATATGTTCGGCTAGTAAGACGAGGTGTAACGGCTCCCAAACTGCTCTACACTCACCATAACTTCAGCATAGAGCAATCAAACCAGCTCTGCCATTCTCTCGCCCCGAAGTCGGGGAACAGGAACGACTTTGTGTTCTTAATGATTGTTAGTTCGTGGGAGAACTCTAAACGGAGAGACTATATTAGGAAGACTTGGGCGACATATCACTGGTTCTGGAAGAACCCAACCATGACGTACAGCTATAAATTTGTAATTTCTCAACCTGATCCGAACAGAAATTACACGGTTCACCCTACTGACTTGGACTCTCCGGATATAATCATGTCAGATCTCAACGAACATTATTATTTGCTGGACATCAAAGTTATGTGGGGTTTTTCTCACGTTCTCCTCAACCACAAGTTTGATTACATTTTAAAATGTGACGATGACACTTTTGTAAACCTGTGGCGACTGCCTCCTAAACTCCTCGCAAAAGCAAACACGGACTATTTCTACGGAGGGAAAGTGTTAGAGACCCACAACTGGGCGGGAGAGGGTATAAAGTACGCTGCAGGCAGTGGCTATGTGATGAGTAGGAAAACTTTGTGTGCAGTTGTTCTGGCACATTCCGTATATTCCCTGGAGACTCCCAGGATACCTATAGAGGACGCGTACACGGGTCTGCTGAACGCTCGGATGGGAATTAAAGTGACCCCCCTGAGTGGGTTTGCCACTGAGCATGAGAGTTGTAAAGATTTTACTACTGTTATTTTCCATCATATTAACATGAAACTATTTGGAAAGCTTCTACACGCTGCAGTTAATGGAACCCATTTTTGTTAAGATTTGGGTTTGATTTCACTAATTTCCCATAACTATATGTATGATATTTTTCGGTTTTAGTTATTGTACTTATATTTTTACTAAAGTTTACAAATTAAGCTTAACACTCGAATTTGAGATGAGAAAACATGTCCACTTTGTCCAATAATTACAATTGTGAACACATCAGTCATTAATTTTACTAATGTGTCTTACTCCAGCGGAAAATGAATTAGTGATGGATCAAATTTGTCAAGAAAGTTGTTCACTGTCCAATTATATTATGTCAAGCACGGTTCACGGAAACGAACTTCTATCCATTAAGCCAGATTATTTTTGTAAGTTTGCAAAGTTACTTAGCTTCAGTTACATGGAGTTTTCATGTATACACCAAATCTCGGTTTTGATTGTTGCTAGCAGTTTGGTTTTATGTTCTACTGCTGTGCTCGTAGTACTAGTACTACAGTTTGTATTTCATATCTCAGAAAGTTTTTTATTAACAACGAATTACGACCGTCCAAATAAGGGCCGATATCGGATATATAAGATACAAAAATAGTGCCTTAGCATAATTAACTATTCCATGGTATGTTCATTAATCAGAATCTAATATTAGAGCTTTACCTGTGATCCGATGGATTGACCACTCACTAACGAATCGTTATCCTTCTCCCCTGGTGACTTGTGAGGTACCATCATTCCCGGGGTAGAGGATTTAAATGCTATCTTGTCGTCTGTGTTGTGCCTTAGATAAAATTTTAAATATCAATTTTAAATTTTGATCGGTTTTAAATCATGCCCCAATTAAGGATATTTTAACAATCTAAAAATACTCTAAATATACACTAGATTACTATAAGTATAACAATATAATATGTTCATACTAATTTAAACTACAAATAGTAATTATATGTTAATTTAGTATGATGTAATCTGTCAGCCGGTAAATTCAGCAAATTCAGCCTAAGCTAACGTACAAGAATAAGAACCCAACTGTAATATGAACCTCAAGTTGTACCTTTTTGTGAAGGAGATGCTGGCTTGTTCCCGGGTTCTGGAGTCTGGTTCCAATGATGATGGTTCACTCATAGTTGCTCAGTCCAAACCAGCTTGTAGATAACTAATACTGTTAGTCTTCTTATCCCCAAGTGAGAGTTCGATTGGATTATTATTACTTGACTATTGTCTACAAAGTCAATTTGGAACCAGATCAAGTCAAACTGGGATCGTGAACTTTTCTGCAAACGATCGTATCATTCAAATTTCAAGCATCAACAAACGGCTAAGTTGGAAGCAGTATTTCACTACTGGATACTGGTAGTGTTTAGTGAAACGTAAAACCGAACAAAAGATAAAAGAAAATTATGTGAGCAGCACCGTAACTCAACACTGAAATCACGAAAGTTATGTAATACGAGTACGTGATATGTTGTGAGGGACAAGAGTAACATCATCCGACTATCATTAATGAAATATTGCACATCCTATTTTCTACAACAAATGTGAGTCAAAATTCAGAATCTGACAGCTGACGGGATATTCAATATTATAATATAATAATACCTTGGCTATTGAGTGCTGAGCGCGATAATTCCCGACAGCTTGCTGGAGGGAACGCGCGGGCACGAAATTGCCAAGGTGTTATGTATTATAATATTTTCCGGTTCCGAATTGGAAGGGGTGTAATCCGATACGTGCGCATGATACAATATAGTGTCTAATATATAGAACGCCAGTGTTATTTGTTTTACAACTTGCCGCCAGCCAGTCTGAGGTCTATGCTGATAATACCTTGGCTTCCCTTGCGGGATATATCGGCAAATTATCAGCTCTCAGTGTCCGAGACTTTTAGTGGATATAATTCCCGGAAGGTATTATAACATTTCGCATGTGTTGTTAAATGTAGCTACTGAGATCTGACTCAGTAGCTGATTTTAAAACTAAACTTCTTTCATTACAAAATTTAAGACATAATATAAACAGCACACATTCTCTAAACTACCCAGAAACTTTGTTTGCATCAGACAGCCTCACTGCTTCGATAACAAATTGAAATACTCGTATCGAAAAAGCTGTCAATAAATTTCAAAAATAAAAATTCTCCTAGAGAAAAATCTTGTCCGTGACTAATCAGATCGTAGCTAAATCAAAATGCTAATCATATGTCCATGAAAATGACGTTAAACAAAGTATTTCCTCAAAGTTCCTGTATCTACTTCGACAAGGTTGTTCCTGTTATATCGCAGAGTAAATATATTATATGCACATCTAGTTAGTACAAAGGTAAAGCAATCAGTAAATTGGTAGCTAAGCGACTCCTTAAGTTTAATTCAATAACACACATTGTTAGCGGTTACTGCGAAGGTTAGGTGAGCATGTAATTTCATGTGATCCACATTCCACACCATATTGACTGCTTTAACTTACTGAGTTACTGCATTAAGCACATGTTATATAATATATGCTGGTACGTTTTATTTCCGTATCTGAAATTAGCCCATCAGATATTGTCTTTGCTTTTGTGATCTGCTTTTGGGCTGCTTTTGTAAAGTTCTCAACTTCCCGTATTTCTAAGCTACATTCACTACATCATTGCCATCACTGACAAATGACTCTATTTGAGGGGGGGGGGCTTGCAGACTACGGGCACCCGGAGCAGACATGCTCATATTTAGATTAATTTTAGTACAGTTATGCAGAATTATCTAAACATGCTCAACACCAAGCTTTGGGGTACTCTACTTGTCGCTACTTTGGGGTACTCTATTTCTTGCTACTACCTGTCTCCTGAATACGTCCTTATCCTGGACTTATTGTTCATGAGTCGCCAGGACCTTCCTAAATAATAGTCCACATATTATAACTGTTAATTTGCTTGATGAACAGCTTTACAGATATACCTGGAAATGTTGCAGGGAGACGGTTGCTTGAGTCTAGTAATCACCTTATTTCAATTCCTGAATAATGAATGGCACAGTCAGTTGTGTTACAAGTATACTGGCTGTTACGATGGATATTTATCCTTATTTCGCTACTGGAGAAACAGCAGAGGCTTCTATTTTTGTCGTTCTGCTCTGCACTTGTGGGTTATTGAAACTCGAAAGAGGGACACTTTTTGCATGAACAGATTAAGAAAAATAAAACATCCAAATCCGATTAACTTCTGAACAGTTTCCCCCAGATGGTCCCTTATATTTTCCTGATGCTAACAGTTCAAACAACACTTCTACACGTCGGTCATAGTATTCATAAAATAAGTTCTGAGACTACTTTCTCACAGCTGGACACCTCCAAGTGTAAACAGGTAGGGTCCGTATTTATATAATCTCACGAAACCAGATTTGACAATTTTTGCACGAACTACGTTCTGGTTTCCCGTCATTATAGTACATAGAAATCACTTTTTGACCGTGTTATTTTCATGCAATTACATTGATGTATGTACTATTTTGAAAAGATTTTCAATAAAAAATCAATCAGATTCGAGGAGTTAGAGAAAGATGAGAAACTGGTTGTTTCAATGCTGCAACTTCCAGTAATCATCATAAATTAAGAATATTATATAGTTTTAGTGGTTAATCTGATAAATAAGATATTATTCCCGATCAGGTATGCTCAGTAGTTTGCGAAGAGGTACAGTTAGCCCAGTGTATTCATATCTACGGTAGTGGAATCTATTCTAAATACACAAAAGTCTGCTGTGCAGCCAGACAGGCAGGAGCCATCGGTCATAATAACAGGTCGATCAGTTTATGTCGGTCGGTCAGTTTGTTGATCGGTCAGTATGTCGGTCAGTCAGTATGTCGGTCGGTCAGTTTGTTGATCGGTCAGTAATTTTGATTGTCAGTCAGTCACCTGCTGGTCAATGTTTTCGTCAGCCTTCGTGTCGTTTTGTCAGTTATATTTCCAATTTCAATCGTTAACAACACTTCAGCTGATAAATCAGACAATCGGTAAAAAGTCTAATTTTATTGTTTATCTGTATATGCATTATGCATCATGCACTAAAGCATGATAAATAATTAGTCGTGTAATTTGCCATCTATGAATGACTGACTAATTGGTTACGGATGAGAAATTCAGTAAAAACTGTAAAACTTTTCGTTTTCTTAAGATTTCTGCTGTGAGCTTCCTCCGACCCGAATCAAACTTCCAGCACCTCAATCGTGTCATTTGGCATCTATAGTTGACTGAATAATTGGTTGCGGGTCAGAAATTCGGCCAAAACTGTAAAATTTCGGCCCTGGAAGTTTCAGCTTCAAAAACTGAAAATGGGACAGAGTATGGGACAGTATGATTTTCCAATTTTTTCGAGATTTTGACTTCCAGTACCCTAATTTGGTTTCATACCATCATCAATTAACTGACTAATTGGTTTGTGGGCAAAAACTTCATCCAATCTGTCAAATGTGTGTTCAGAAATTTTCATATCTGAAAATGGGACAGAGTTTTGAAAATACAACTTTTCGTTTTCTTAAGATTTCTGCTGTGAGCTTCCTCCGACACGAATCAAACTTCCAGCACCTCAATCGTGTCATTTGGCATCTATAGTTGACTGACTAATTGGTTGCAGGTCAGAAATTCGGCCAAAACTGTAAAATTTCGGCCCTGGAAGTTTCAGCTTCAAAAACTGAAAATGGGACAGAGTATGGGACAGTATGATTTTCCAATGTTTTCGAGATTTTGACTTCCAGTACCCCAATTTGGTTTCATACCATCATCAATTAACTGACTAATTGGTTTGTGGGCAAAAATTTCATCCAATCTGTCAAATGTGTGTTCAGAAATTTTCATATCTGAAAATGGGACAGAGTTTTGAAAATACAACTTTTCGTTTTCTTAAGATTTCTGCTGTGAGATTCCTCCGACCTGAATCAAACTGACAGCACCTCAATCGTGTCATTTGGCATCTATAATTGATTGACTAATTGGTTGCGGGTCAGAAATTCGGCCAAAACTGTAAAATTTCGGCCCTGGAAGTTTCAGCTTCAAAAACTGAAAATGGGACAGAGTATGGGACAGTATGATTTTCCAATTTTTTCGAGATTTTGACTTCCAGTACCCCAATTTGGTTTCATACCATCATCAATTAACTGACTAATTGGTTTGTGGGCAAAAATTTCATCCAATCTGTCAAATGTGTGTTCAGAAATTTTCATATCTGAAAATGGGACAGAGTTTTGAAAATACAACTTTTCGTTTTCTTAAGATTTCTGCTGTGAGCTTCCTCCGACCCGAATCAAACTTCCAGCACCTCAATCGTGTCATTTGGCATCTATAGTTGACTGACTAATTGGTTGCAGGTCAGAAATTCGGCCAAAACTGTAAAATTTCGGCCCTGGAAGTTTCAGCTTCAAAAACTGAAAATGGGACAGAGTATGGGACAGTATGATTTTCCAATGTTTTCGAGATTTTGACTTCCAGTACCCCAATTTGGTTTCATACCATCATCAATTAACTGACTAATTGGTTTGTGGGCAAAAATTTCATCCAATCTGTCAAATGTGTGTTCAGAAATTTTCATATCTGAAAATGGGACAGAGTTTTGAAAATACAACTTTTCGTTTTCTTAAGATTTCTGCTGTGAGCTTCCTCCGACCCGAATCAAACTGACAGCACCTCAATCGTGTCATTTGGCATCTATAATTGACTGACTAATTGGTTGCGGGTCAGAAATTCGGCCAAAACTGTAAAATTTCGGCCCTGGAAGTTTCAGCTTCAAAAACTGAAAATGGGACAGAGTATGGGACAGTATGATTTTCCAATTTTTTCGAGATTTTGACTTCCAGTACCCCAATTTGGTTTCATACCATCATCAATTAACTGACTAATTGGTTTGTGGGAAAAAATTTCATCCAATCTGTCAAATGTGTGTTCAGAAATTTTCATATCTGAAAATGGGACAGAGTTTTGAAAATACAACTTTTCGTTTTCTTAAGATTTCTGCTGTGAGCTTCCTCCGACCCGAATCAAACTGACAGCACCTCAATCGTGTCATTTGGCATCTATAATTGACTGACTAATTGGTTGCGGGTCAGAAATTCGGCCAAAACTGTAAAATTTCGGCCAATGAAGTTTCAGCTTCAAAACTGAAAATGGGACAGAGTATGGGACAGTATGATTTTCCAATTTTTTTGAGAATTTGACTTCCAGTACCCCAATTTGGTTTCATTACATCATCAATTAACTGACTAATTTGGGTTTTTTTGGGGGAAAAAAAAATCCAACTTCAAAAGGGTGAAACAATTGAAAGGGGGATTTTAAAATACACTTTTCCTTTTTTTGATTTTCCGGAGCTTCCTCCCACCCCAATAAACTTCCAGCACCCAATCGTTCATTTCCCCCTTTTTAGGATTTTTATTGGTTGGGCGAAATTTTTTTCCAAAATTTTTTGGTAATTCCTTAAATAAATGTATGGGACGTTTTTTAAATTTTTTAGGAAGTACCCCAAGGTTTTAAAAATACAAAATGCTAATTGGTTTTGGGCAAAAATTTATCCAACTCTCAAAAGGTTAAAATTTTTTTTGAAAAATGGGGAAAGTTTTTAAAATAAAATTTTGTTTTTTAGATTTTTCACTTTTCCCCAACGAAAAATTTCCCCATATTGTTAAAAGGATCTTAGTTACCGACAATTTTTTAAAATTTGGAAAAAACTTAAATTTGGGCCCTTTAAGTTTACTTAAAAGAAAATAAAATTGGCAGAGACCTTTTTTGTATTTGATTAGTACCCCTTTGGGTTTTTACCATCTTAAAAACTAATTTTTGTAAAAATTTATTAAATTTAAAATGTTTTGAAATTTTTAAATCAATGGGACTTTTTTTCCAACCTTTTTTAAATTTTGGTCTTCCCCCAAAAATTAATCAATGTTCAGGGTTTTTTAAAGGACTGAAAGGTTTTCGGGGGGTTGGCAAAAAAGAAAAAACGGTGAAATTTGTTCAAAAAACGGGAAAAAGGGCAAGTTTGGGCTTAAATTTTCCAATTTTTCGGGGGATTGACCCCCAAGTTTTTAAAAATTAACTGTTTTTTTTGTGGGAAAAATTTTACCCAACCCAAAAAAGGTTTTCAGAAAATTTTCTATCTGAAATGGGGAAAATTTTTAAAAACAAATTTTTTTTCGAGGGACCCCCCGACCGAACAAATTCCAACTTTATTGGCCTTTTTAAAGTTTAATGCAAAGGGGGGAAAACGAAAAAAATGTAAAAATTGGGAAGTTTTCTCCGGAAAATCAGAGATGGGACCATAGATTTTTAAATTTTTTGAGATTTTGCCCATACCCAAATTTGGTTTCATAATTCTCAAAAATGATAATGGTTTGTGGGGCAAAACACCTTGCTTTTTAAAAATTTCTTTTGAAAATGGGACCGGTTTAAAACAAATTTTTTTTCTTTAAGAGCTGTCTTCCTCGACCCATAAAAGAATAAGATAGGATTATGGAGACTAAGGTTTCGGGGCAAGGAAAAATTAAAATTTTGGCCTGGAGTTTTTTTGCCAAAAAATGAAAATGGGGGTTGGGGGTTTGAAATTTTTTAATTTTCTTTAAAGGTTTCAAAATATCTTAAATGACTAATTTTTTCAAAAAACCCTCGTTGGTTTGGGAAATTTTTATAGAAAAATAAGGTTTTTAAAAAAAAATTTTTGTTTTCTTTAAATTTCTCTTGAGTTTCCCCCGACCCCAAACAAACCCAGACCCCAAAGGGGTATTTGCATTTATTGAAATGCTTTTGGGGGTTTCGGGTTTGAAATTGGCCAAAATTTAAAAATTGTTGGGGAAATTTGCTTCAAAAAAAAAAAATGGGAAAATTGGGGGAGTTTATTTTTAATTTTTTGAGGGGTTTTTACCCCGTACCCCTTTTTTGGTTTTAATTCCATTTAAATTCGCTAAAATTTGGTTTTTGGGAAAAAAATTTTATCCCTTTTGTCAAATGTGTGTTCAGAAATTTTATTCTGAAAATGGGACAGAGTTTTGAAAAATACAATTTTGTTTTCTTAAGATTTCTGTGGGCTTCCTCCGCCCGAATCAAACTTCCCGCACCTCAATGTTCATTTGGATCTTTTGTGTGATAATTTGGGTTGGGGGTCAAAATTGGCCCAAAATGTAAAATTTCGGCCCTGGAAGTTTCAGCTTAAAAATGAAAAAAGGGACAGAGTTGGGGCGTTGATTTTTCCAATTTTTTGAGATTTTTATTCCGTACCCCAATTTGGGTTTTAACCCCTCATCAAATTAAAATGCTAATTTGGGTTTTTGGGAAAAAAATTTCTCAACTGTCAAAAGTGTGTTCAGAAATTTTCTATCTGAAAAAGGGGAGAGTTTTGAAAATAAACTTTTCGTTTTTCTTAAAATTTTTTGCTGTGGCTTCCCCCACCCGAAACAAAAATTTCCCGCACTTTAAAAGTGTCATTTGGCATTATAGTTGATGACTAATTGGTTGCGGTCAGAAATTCGGCAAAAATGTTTTAAAATTTCGGCCCCGGGAAATTTCGCTTCAAAAATGAAATGGGACGAGTATGGGACAGTATGATTTTCCCTTTTTTCGAGATTTTGCTTCCGTACCCAAATTTTGGTTTTATACCCTTCATCAATTAACTGACTAATTGGTTTGGGGCAAAAATTTTATCCAAACGTCAAATGTGTGTTCAGAAATTTTCATATCTGAAAATGGGACGGTTTTTTAAAATTTCAACTTTTGTTTTCTTAAGATTTTGCTGTGAGTTCCTCGACCCGAATCAAATTCCGCCCCAATGTTTTTTGCATCAAGGATGTTGGGCGGGCAGAATTGGCCAAAACTGTAAAAATTTTGGCCCTGGGAGTTTTAGCTTTAAAAACTGAAAAAAGGGACGAGTTGGGAATAGATTTTCCAATTTTTTCGGATTTTGATTCAGTACCCCAAATTTGGGTTTTCCCCTCTCAAATTAAAGATAAAAGGTTTGTCAAAATTTTACCAATCTGTCAAATGTTTTCAGAAAATTTTCATTTTGAAATTGGGAAGATTTTGAAAATAACTTTTCGTTTTTAAGTTTTCTTTTGTGTGAGTTTTGCCCAATCAAACTTCCCAGCCCTCAATCGTTCATTTGCATCTAAGTGAAGACTATTTGGTTTGGGGGAAACCCCCAAAAAAAAAATTCCCCTTTAAATTTTGCTTCAAAAAATGAAATGGGCAGAGTATGGGACAGTTTTGAAAATTTTCCCAATTTTTTTTGAGGATTTTGCTTTCCAGACCCCAAGGTTTCATAAATCATAAAATTTAACTGACTTTTAAGGGTGGGCAAAAATTCATCCAACTTTCATTTTGTGTTCAGGGAAATTTTCTTCTGAAAATAAAATTTTTTGAAAAATAAACCTTTTCGTTTTCTTTAAATTTCGGCTGTGAGTTTCCTCCCGAGAATCAAACCCAGACCAAGTTTTTTCATCTAAAGTTGATGTAATTTTTGGGTTGTTTTTCCCCCAAAAGGGAAAATTTCGGCCCTGGGAAGCAGCTTAAAAAAAATGGGAAGATTTGGGCATTGATTTTCCAAGTTTTGGATTTTACCAGTTTTCCCCAATTTGTTCATCCACACAAAACTGATTTTTTGTGGGAAAAATAAATTCAAATGTGGGTTTCAAATTTTCATTTAAAAACCGGGACGGTTTTAAAAACAATTTTCGTTTTCTTAAAATTTTTGCTGTGAGGCCCCTCCGACCAATCAAAACCCGACCTAAATTTTCAGCATTCTATAGTTACTGGGCTAAATTTTGGTTTTCGGGGAAATTGGCAAAACTGTAAAATTTGGTGGAAATTTGTTCAAAAATGAAAATGGGGGGATGGGGAGATAATTTTCAATTTTTTGGAGGGACCCGTACCCAAAAATTTTGGTTTTTTTTCCAACAATAATGTTTGGTTTGTGGGAAAAATTTAACATTTGGTCAAAAAAATGTTTCAGGAAATTTTCTATCTGAAAACAGGTTTTAAAAACCCTTTTCGTTTTTTTAAATTTTCTTGGCCTCGCCCCCGAAAAACTTTCAGGCACCCTCGCATTTTGGATCTTTTTGACTCCTATTGGTTTGGGGTAGAAATTCGGCAAAAATTAAAATTTCCCCCTGGAAGTTTTGTTCAAAAACTGGGGAAAATGGGAAAGTTGGGGTTGGGTTTTCCAATTTTTTCGAGAGACCCCGTACCCAATTTTGGTTACATAAAAACAAATTAATGAATTGGTTTTTTGGGGCAAAAAATTTTCCAATCTGTCCCCAAAAAGTTGTTCGAAAAATTTTTTTTTTTATTGAAATTGGGGGGAGATTTTGAAAATAAATTTTGTTTTTTTTTTAATTTTTGTACCCCCTCCCCCCAATCAAACTTCCAGACCTCAATTGTCAGGGCACATAGTTGACGGGAAAAAGGGTTCCCGGTAGAAAAAGGCCAAAACTTAAAAATTTTGGCCCGGAAGTTTCAGGCTTTAAAAAAAGAAAAAGGGCAGAGTATGGGACGTATATTTTCCATTTTTTTCAATTTTATTTGAAATTTGGTTTATACCTCATCAAAAAAATTAATGATTTTTTGGTTTTGGGAAAAAATTTTCATCCCACTTAAATGTGTGTTAAAATTTTTTAAAATGAAAATGGGACAGAGTTTTGAAAACAAATTTTGTTTTCTTAAATTTCTGCGGAGTTCTCGACCCGAAAAATTTTGCACTTTTCTTCCCATTTGATTAAGATGCGATAAAAGGGTTGCCCCGGAAATTTTTGGGCCCCCAAAATTAAAATTTGGGCCCGAAGTTTCGCCCTTAAAAATGAAAGGGGCAAGGGGGGCAGATGTTTTTCAATTTTTTCAAGACTTCCCAGACCCAAATGTTTAACCACACTCTCTTTCATGATCAGGTACTCGTACTGACAAACTTCCCGCATATAAATGATCTTTTTCTACTGTGATTTTAGCCAATAATAGCACTAGATTGATGACCGAAATCATTATACTGGTGCTTAATTTCAATTATAACCACCACGCGAATGACCCTAACAATAACATAAACTTTCAACATGAAACTCCAACCAAATAACAACTGTTCCAGGAAGCCCAGCAGACAAAGTCAGTTCCAGACCCAGAAGAAGAAGAGTTCAGTGTGGATATAACCCTGACGAGAGGAGGGGAGTACTATTGCAAGGGGTGTGATGACAGGCACTGCTCTGATTCTAGAGTTCTTATCATATCTGGAGGGATCAGATCGTATTGGAGCACGTGGTGCTTCATTAATTTGTCCATTTTCGTTCTTTTAGTTTGAGGAGATTTGCCAAAGTTTGATGACACTAACTATGCTTAAATTGAATTTAGTTGAATGATTATTGGTTCATATTCGACAAATTCACCAGTTGCTTATCTTAAACCCTTTTCGCTAGTTACCCGCATTTTATTTAAAGTACTATTCAAACAATGAAGTCACAATGAGAAAAATATATAACGAAATGTACATAAAGTTAAAACCAACTATAATTGAAATATTCATACTCAAAAAATCTTAACTGAACAGAAAAATGTTTCAGTCGAATCATATGGAGAAGAGAAAGTTGATATTAGATCAAAGCTGTTGGAAATTATACTTCACCAATATCATAAAAATGTAATTTAAATTTAAAATGTCTTTAGTTTTGGTGGAACAAAAAACAGTTCCACCTTGCCGTTACCATGGTTACTATGATTATTCCTGCCAACATATTATAAATGTTTGGGCACTTTAGGTAGGCTTTCGCTCACATATTTTAGACAGAGGTCTTCAAAGACCAAGTCAGGACGAGAAGGTGGTTGAGAAACTTAGGCACGCTGTTTCAAGCGAACAAAATACCAAGAGCAAATCCCACCGTAAAACTTCCTGAAACATTTCTGTAGATAAATCTTCAATCGTCATTACGACGTTCTAAATGATGAACCAAACACTCTAGTGATAATCAATTTAACCATCAACCTTCGGACTCTCCCATCATATATTAACGGTATTTTACTTAAATATGGAGGGTATGGTCAATGCACGCACCTGAAGTCGCAGCGTTCTGTTTGAACGCCTCATAAGCTCGTCTAGCTGTAGCCTTTAGCCTCCCCTCGTTCTCCAACAACAACGTGTCCTCGTCCGTTATTATCTCACTGATCTCATCCGTCAAATCTGCTAGTTTTTCCGTTAGGTCCTTTACGTAGCCCGCTGTGGAAATAGTGCAGGCTGTGCTTCAATCAGCAGAATAAAAGCAGGAGTTTAGTAAGTTACGTGGTGGTTAGTAAGTCACGTGGTGGTTAGTAAGTTACGTGGTGGTTAGTAAGTCACGTGGTGGAGGATAGAATGAGTGTGTTTTAGTAGAAGTGATGTTCTTTGGTAAATGGTAACAGTCGTATTATGGTATTGTAAATGTCGGTTATTAGTCATTTAACGAATTGAGTATTTCAGCTAGCGGTTTTGTCATGACCATTGACCTGTTGACCATCATCATCACATAGTCACCGTGAGTGGGAGTGCTAAAAGTAAATCATTCGGCATAATTAGCATTACGATAGTATTTATCAGGATCACACACAAAATAAAAACTACCAATCACCACACCCTACCTTCTTTCAGATCCTCTATTTGGTCGTTAACTTTCTTCCAGTTTATCTTGATGTATCCAGCTTGAGATGCTCCCTGAGGGGAAGTGAGATTAAATTAAAAGTTTCTTAACTGAATGGGTTGAAGTACCCATGCATAACTGTGGCAATGTTATGTTCAGAGGGGGGGTGGCCACTATGTTTTTTGTCTTTTTTTGTCCCGTAATTTTTGTCCCGTTTGGGAAAACTGGCACGAGTCGAGACAAAAAAGGAAAAAAGTAGGAAATACTAGTGAATCGCAGGATGAACAAGAAGCTGGAGGCCACATGTACCTGTTGAATTTATGTCATTCTATGTATTCTATAAATAATTTTAACTGTTTAACTACTTATTATGAATCATTATGAATCATTATGAATCATTATGAATCATTATGAATCATTAAATCGTTGAATTGGTTGCAGCAACCAATGGTTGCTGTATCTATTGACAATACATGTATAATTTAATGAAATTATATTTAAATTTAAATCACATTGTTAAATAAATTTTAAAAATCGACTTTAGTTTTCTGCATTAACCAGAATTTGTTGACTCTGTTAAATTTTGTCCGTGCTGCGCGAGAATGTTTTTATAACAACTACACTCTACAGTGTGCATTTGTCCACAAACAGATTTTGAAAAACGTGTTTTTCATCTTCCAGTATATAAACCTAAGAACACTTGATCGGCTCACTCCCCTTGCATTCCTTTGGCACGTACGTCTCACAATTCACATCCTTTGATACGAGAACCCCCCTTTAGCAAGAGCTCCCGTCCCTTATGTGGTCTACGAGTCGAGCAGTCAGATCATTTTTACTTCTTAATGTACAGCTATGATTTACAGAATTGACCTACCTTATATCAGTATATCTAGCCCATTTCTGGGTCAATCAAATTCTACTGATGGATCACATCACTACTGATGGATCACATCATTAATTATAGAAGATGTATCATGTTGTAGAAATCAGACCCTCAATTCCAAGAAATACTGGTTTCTTGATTGGGCAACTTAAACGAACACCGATGGGACATTAAGACAACATTAAGACAACAATAAGACAACAAACGATAAGACAACATTAAGACAACATTAAGGCAACATTAAGGCAACATTTAAAGCAAACATTAAGACAACATTAAGACAACATTAAGGCAACAATAAGACAACAATAAGACAAGATTTAGACAACAAACACCGATAAGACAACAAAATATGATAAAATATTAAGACAACATTAAGACAACATTAAGACAACATTAAGACAACATTAAGACAACATTAAGACAACATTAAGACAACATTAAGACAACAAACTCAATTAAGACAACATTAAGACAACATTAAGACAACAAACTCGTTTAAGACTACATTAATGCAACAAAATGTTTAGAATATGTAATATACGGCCGGGATTTCATTGCCGCAGTTAAAAAGGAGAACAAGCTCTGATGTCGTCAAAGTCACGTTACCTAAGGCTCATAATCACGTGACATCTGCAGACCCAGTCAATTGGGTTCTGGCCTGGTCAGCTCCCTGTTACCTGATCTTGAGGTGACGTACGACACCTCGTTATTGTTAACCTAATCAATGTTTGAAAGGCAGATCACCGTGACTGTGAGAGTCCAGTGGCGTAACGAAGGCCCCCGCTGACCCTGCTGTGCATAAAATTTGTGTAATCAAATATTTTTGTTTGTCATTTATAGCCTCTAGAAAAGAAAGGTCGTAAACAACCCTATCATCACTAATGGGTTAATCTTTCTGTGGTAGTGGTACACCCTGTATTTGGAAAAATGTCTTTCACCTTCTCAACTTGAGATCTTTCCTTCATAAGCCCGCTCATTGGCTGTGAAATAGAGGCTTCGTTGTTTACAATTACTGAGATTCGGCAGAGAGACGATGCCACCCGATAGTAAGCCGCTCAGAATATTCTAGAAGGTTGTGGAATATTTTATGAGTACGGGGTAGCCAAGCCTGCAGCCTAACAATTATAACGAATAATTCGTTTATTGAATTTGCATTTTTATTGTTGCATATATGTTCATTTTCCACTCTATTGCAAGTTAATTATTATTATTATTTTAATCCTTGCACAAACTAGGGTTATGGATAAGACCGAGTTTGTTTGTCTTCGTTCTAGTTGCCCTTGATTGCATGATTTTTACAGAAGAATTTCCAGTACGGACATTGTGTGATTAAGCACTGGTATGGCATTAATTAATTAGGATGACTTAATAGGTATATCGCTAGCCACTAATTAACTAATTTATGAAGTTGAAGATATAATTTAGTGGAGGTCGGCGGATATGTAAATTATTTTCACTGTATCTCGAGTTATGTTTTCTTGGGTAAATTTCTATTGATTCCGTTTGATGCGACAAGGAAAAGGCTCTTATCAGGAAAGGAATTATTCAACATTTCAATGTATGTGACAACATAAATTCAAGCATGATAGGTGCTCTCCGAGCGATTCTCATGCCAGCTAGCTGTTCTTTCGGAATTGCACGAAGGGTTTCCATATGTTCAAAGATATTACCATTATGACTGGGTATTTCTTTCAGTAATGGTTTGAGGATGGTTGTCACCAGCCAGCTTAATCTCTCTGTAGGTGAGTCAACACAGCTAATAATGGGTCATACTTTCACCCGTTCTAGAGGAATGGTGTTTGCATAGTATAGTTTGCATAGTATAGGTTGCATGGAAATATACGGTATTTTCAAAATCAATATTTGAAAAATCGTGATTTTTGCGGCCGCGGCACGGTTGAACCGTACAGAATTCATTTTGGTTCATTTTGGTTTTTGCATTTTGTAGGGAAACAGTTTCCCGATCAGATCATTTTAAATGCATCCTAAACCGAAATACTCAATTTTGAACCTAATATAGTATGGTGGCGCACTGTGATATGTTTTCATCACAGATATTATTGAATTATTATCATATTATATGAATGTGCTAATCTAGCTAGGCACATTTGGGGCACACTTGGGGCACACCTGGGGCACACCTGGGGCACAAAATGAAAAAAAAGAGGCTCAGTTCTTTATTCCTCATAGTTTACAAGTAACAGCCCGTCTCTAGTTTATCATTTTTATTAATATTCCCTCTTTATAGTCTTATACAAAGCCTAGATGATGACTTTTATTTGTTGTTCAAAGTTCCTCCTGCCTCCTCATTTCAGACGAACAGATGTGCTTTATGTTTTTTGGACCAACAATTTGGAATGAACTATCCTACTCAGTGAGATCATTATCATCTGTAGAATATCAAATAACGGAGTAGTTCGCTGTTTATTAGTCTCATGATTGATTTATACTACTGAATCAGTGCATTGATGATCTATATTATAAGATCGATTCTTCATTTTAATGTAATACTAGAAAACCCGTGGTCACAGGGAGGAAGCTAATAATATTTTTTGTTAGTAAGTTTAAATCGCGTCAAAAAATATCCTACACATGAACCGAAGATACAGCCAATTAAAATGTTGCTCGCACTAAACACAACGTAATATCAACAAAACTGATCAAAATGACGTTAAAACAATCATTGCACGTGCACGTGCGTGTAATAATCCTCGTTAACATGGTTACTACGCAAGTTCATATTTTTCGTTTGATTTGCACGTGGGCGGTCGTACAGACAGACAACAAAAACAATTCTCTGAATTATAGTAGAGATATAATACCATTTGATGTAACATGTATTCAGTTTGTGTCATTTTAATTTAGCATTTTTACTAACTTATAGAACCATTTATAACTGTATACTAACATTTGTACCAATTTTAGCCTGAAGATGGCGTTGACGCCGAAAATGTGCCTACATTCTTAACTTCCTGTTTCATTTGTCCTTGTCTCTTCCAACCGGATATTATCCAACTATCAGCATCTGTAGAATGTATTTAAAATGCCCTAAGGACGTTTTATTTCCACCTAGCTTGTGATAATATTCCTAATATTTGTCCATAATGTCTGAGCTGATGTCTGAGCTTGATAATATAAAAGTGTATAACCTTGGTAATTTCATACTTTTTTATTAAATACTTTTCAAATTTTACAGAGTACAGCAATAGATGAATATAAAATAGAATCGTTCAAAATATCGCCCCCATCTGTAAAATATGATGGGCACCCAAACACGGTAAACACATAGTGAACTATGTCCGCAGTAACTTGGACCCATTACATCGAATTAATCTAAATCCAAAAATTTATGAAAAACTATTTAATAACAAACAAATCCATGGTGAATAACTGTGGATATATAGTCAAAATTGGTATTTCAATACGTCAAATTCCAGATACATTAGATACAGGTCTGATATGGTCATTAATGTGTGAGGTGTGCGGGTGAAGTGTGATATGATGTTGAAAGTATAGGAAGGTAGATAAAAAATTAATAAAACAAAAATAATAATAATATGGGGAGCAAAGAGACTAGGCTAGGCTGTTGTTTCACTATCCAATAAACATTTCCATAGATGCTTAGTGACCTCAGCTTTGAAAACACTTGTAGACACAATCTGTCTTACCTGTAAAGGGAGTCCATTCCACAGTATATGAGTTCTGTAGAAAAATGATTTTGCCAGTGGGCTATTTGAGGTACATAAGGTGTGTGAATTCTGACTTAACTTAGGTAAAATTGATGACACAATAGACAGACTGTCGAGGTGGCAACGTCTTAGTCGAGAAGTGCCCTGATATAAAGTGAGATAGTGAGGCAGCCATACAGGAATTAAATTGTTCAGAACTTTGTGGAAAAAAATAAGATCATTCAAGTCAAACTTTTGAGACAAAGGGAGAATGTCGACAAGCTTGCACTTTTTGACATATTGCTCAGGTGGATAACTGCGGCCCTCTTCAGACAGAATCCATTTAATAGCTCTCTTTTGGAGACTTTCTAATTTATCACTAAGTGATTTATTACAAGGGCGCCAGATTATGGAACAATTTTCGAATTGGCTACGAACCAGGGAGAGGTAAAGCGCCCGGCGACGTTTCTGATCAATGACAATATGGCCATCTCTTCTGACCATACCAAGTTGTTGGCAGGCCTTAGTATAAATTCTGTCGCACTGACTATTCCAACTGAGCTTAGGAGTAACATCGACTCCAAGATCTTTTTCTAACTCTACATACACAAGAGGAGAGCCATCAAGATTATATGCGAATGGAGGAGATAAAGATGGTTTTCCTGAAACAATAAGCACTTTACATTTTGCTGGATGGAATCGCATTTTGTTTCTAAGTGCCCAGTCAGAGAGATAGTCTATATCCATTTGTAAATTGGTATTATCAGAAGATGAATGTATTTTACGCCAGATTTTTGTATCATCGGCATACAAAACAATATCAGTATTATCCGAAAGGCCAAGAGGAATATCATTGATAAACAATACAAAAAGTAAGGGACCAAGGATAGAGCCCTGGGGGACACCAGAATTAACTGAGAGGGTAGATGACATCTCATTACCAATAACCACTCTTTGGTAACGGCCTTGAAGGTAATTGGTAAGAAATTTGAGAAGTGTACCATCAATGTTATATAAGGTCTTTAGCTTATGAAGAAGGATATCATGATTTACAGAATCAAATGCCTTAGCAAAATCAAAATACACAACATGATTGATAATGTTTTCGTTAAGAGACAATGCCAGGCTATCACAAAAATCAACCATATTGGTTGTGCATGACTTGTGCTCTAGAAAACCATGCTGCCTGGGATCAAGAAGGGTACTTGTCAAAGAAAGCAGTTTACGTTTAACAATGCGCTCAAAAACTTTCATGACTAAACAAGTAAGGGATATTGGTCTATAGTTTTCAACCTCACTTTTCTTACCTTTCTTAAATATTGGGACAACATTTGCAAGTTTCCATTCTTGTGGAATGTAGCCGCTGTTGTAGGATCCACGAAAAATGCATGTTAGAGGGTAAGCTAAACCTACGGAACAATTTTTTAGAATTTTACCGTGTATGCCATCTGGTCCCTGGGCTTTATTTGAATTAATATTTGAAAGAAGCTTACGAACATCCCGATGATCGAAGTCAATATCAAAATCAACATCATTGACATAGGAGATGTCAGTGTCATAAAGTGAAGGATCCGAAAACTGGTTATAAAAGAAAGAATTGAAAAGTTCAGCTTGATCTTTGGGATTGAACCGAAGCTGTCCAGAATAACTAACACAATTAGGAATACGGCAGGAGTTAGATTTATACTTAACATGTGACCAAAACTTCTTAGTTATAAGCGCTGGATCATCACTATTAAAAAGATTATCTCTTATTTTGGCTGATGAGAGCCTCTTAAAATCTTTACGGCTAGTAACAAACTTTAACTCATCAGAAATAGAACCAGAAATTTTAAATTTAGCTCTGAGTCTATCTTTTTTACGGCATGAAGAAAAAAGTTCACTATCGAACCACGGGGGTTGGAACTCTGATTTAATAATTACTTTAGGAATATGTATATCAACTAAATTCATAATGCAGTCTTTAACTAACTTCCAAGACGAATCAGGATCTAGGCATTCTAGGACTTGCCAATTAATCGAGCATAATTCACGATTAATCATGTCCCAGTTTGCTTTCTTAAAATTATAGATTTTACGTTTAGGAGTTTTCTTACGGGAAAAGGAGCTTTTAATTGAAAAAGTGACAGGAAAATGATCAGATTTGCACACGGAATGAGGATCACAGACATTCAAGTTATCGATTGTGTTATCATAATTACTGAGAAGAATGTCTAATGTATTACCACTTTTATGGGTGGGTGATGTGATCAACTGGGAGAGAGAAAGATCACTGAAAGAATCTATGAAGGATTGCTCAATAGGTACGGTACTGGATGAAGATAGCCAGTCTGTATGGGGGAGATTAAAATCACCAATAACATAGATTTTAGGGGGATTCTTTTTGGAAACTAGCTTGCGAATATAACTAACTATGACATCATGATTAGGTAACCCAAGAGTTCCTACTCTATAACAAGTACAGATTACAATACTCTCTTTGTTAGGAAAAGAAATTTTAACGGCAAGCATTTCTGCACCTAGGCTAACTGGTAGTCGGGTTGTAGTGGCGTCGAGATCAGACCGAACAGCCAAAAGAACACCACCTCCATTTTCCCTAAACTTTTTAGGGTTATTAGGATCTTGAGGATGAGTCTTTCTCGTGCGGTCATTGCGGAAGATTTCATATTGAGAAGAAGGAAAGATTTCGTTGCTAGAAATAGATTTTTTGAGCCAAGTCTCATTTAGGGCAATTATGTCAGGCTGCTCTATGTTAGCAAAGGATTGAAGTTCGGAAATCTTATTACCATCAAGAAGGGGATGGGAGGAGCTTAGGTTACTGAAAGGAATGAGACCTTGGACATTTTGGTAGAGTACAGATAGGGAGTTGGGACCTGGATTAAGCATAGAAGGATTAACAAGAGTTATCAAAAGAAAGTTAAGAGAGAAAACCCAAAGAATGAATAAAGAGACTAGACGCCTGAGGCGGCTGGAATACTTGACTCTATTCATCTTACCAGGGAGAAGAACATTTCTTATAAACCATGAGGAGATAATTACAAAGAAAAGTTTGATGTGGGAGCAAGCAAGAAATGGTATAAGATAACGTGGGCTGTCAAGGAGTAGAGAGGAATGAATATTAGAATCTAGGGGGAATACGGTGTTCATGGACCTAACCGTGGAGAGAAGAATTGGGAGAAAGTAAGTCATGATGAGAGAATAGAAGAGAAACATATGATTATGATAATTGTAGTTGATGTGTGGGGTGTATGGAGACTTAAATGTGTAAATTTTGTTAGGTATAAACGTGTTGATATGTATAAGTGCATTTCTTGACTGTGTACGAGGCCTTTTGCATGCAAAAAGACCTATTCTAAGTCTAAACGATTCATTGTCTAACATATTGGAAAATGGACAGTGACCGAATGTACCTGAAATGGGAGGCATAAAATTGAGAAAAAGATTAAATCAGAGATTTGTTTGAGTTTTAATTTTAGGCGCAACGTCTTAATCAAAATATTAAATGGAAGAAAAGATCAAAGATTTAAATTCCCAGAAGATTATTTACAACCCTGTCAAAACTGTGTTCGTTTACAACAAACTTAAGCCAAGTGGACAGTAAACCTACTCCTCTCATGTTGAGATGAAGCCAATCATGGTATAGAAGTTCATTACATGATCTAAAGTCTCGAGTTAAAAAGACTGAGAAACAGTCTAAGAACACGCAATTATTATTTAGGCATAAGTCTTTAAGTAGATTATTAAAATCTAGAACATTCTTTGCTATGTAGGAATATAAACATTTAATAGGAAGACAACATTGGATAATTATAATTGCAGCGGGAAATAACTGCTTAGTGGTGTCAATTAATTCAGTAAGATACTTCCTAAGGAACTGAACCCCATACTTAGAATGTTTAATGTCATTTGTACCAACACTCAATATAATTTTTTCAATATCGTCAGCTTCTGCAGCTGCATGAGTTTTATGAAAATTATGAATGTTTTCAGTGATGTCTCTAATTTTTGCACCACTTTGAGACACATTGATTACTTTCCTTCCCCGGAATCCCAACTTATTTGTCCGTACGAATTTTGTCATTGACGTACCAAACAGGACAGTGGTTTTCCTGCTCTTCGGTTTTCTTGGAGTATTTCGGTAGTAAAGGGTTGGTGTTGAGGTGGTGGTGGGCGGCATAGGAATTGTAGTGCGGGCAATCTGCTCCTTGACTACATTTGTATCTGTCTTCGGTATCTGGCAGCGAAAAGATAAGCTATACCGAGTCCCCTTAACTGAGCTCTCTGCACGAACCTTGTGAAGACAATATTCCTGACACCCCGGTTTCATAATATACAAACTACAGTCCTTTGGGGTGATATAGCATTTACTGTTACATCGCTTATCCCCATTTTCTGGAATTATGTCGATGGTCCTCTCAGCTCCAAATGAAACTACATAAATACCTTGCGACTGGTCAAGAGACACCTCGTCGTCGTTGTGGTACCTAGTTGCACAAGAACCAGACTTGTACATGCTTGCTAGGCATGAGTTTAGCTTGCAGCCAAACTTGGAGTTGATATCATGCATAAGCTCTGATATCCCAGGATAATTTAAAATATCGATTGGCTCCTTAGTCGTGGTGTGTCCATTTGAGGAAGACCATACATATTCTTCTCCAGTCGAAGTGAGCCACTTTGTGGCAGTTTTCACAGCAGTTTGCTTGGCCATAAGTGTTTCAAGTTCAGACATCAACGTGCCATGTTGAACACTCTTGTTCTGAACAAAATCTGAATGCAACTCCAAGAAGTCCTCGCATTTAACAGAATTTCTCTTAAGTTTCATGACATTCTCAACACTGGCCTTGAGAGCTTTCAGCTCATTTAATGAAAACGAGTTTAAAACATTGGTAACAGAATTCAGATCCATAGTGATGTGAGGAAGAGGGAGGAGAAAATGGCGGTGAGGGAGGAGAAAATGGCGAAGTCAATACTGTAGCCCAGGAAGTAGATGCGTTGCTTAGGATACAAACGGTCACGTCATAGTCTCTTCTATCGCTTTGACATTGGGACCTAAAATTATTTGTTATATAGTAGTGTTGAAAGTATTAAAACTGATAAAGTATTAAAACTAATATTTGTCCATAAAATTTGAACTGATAAAGAAGTCCATAATCTTGATATTTCAACACTAAGTCTCGCTTGAATTTCTCAAATGTACATTTTTGTTGGTATATTTTAATGTCGAAGCCTCGAAGGGGATGATATTTGTTTAGACCTTTCTCTAATCGAACGTCACAATACCACCACTATGCAGTTATATGTGAATTTTCTTTTGATTTAAATTTTTTTTCCCATTTAGCCCGTACCCATTTTGGCCCGTTAGATTATTAAGAAATTGTACTAATAAATATCTCAGAATGAGTCTGTGTGACGAGGAATACACCGTAGATCAACTCTACGATATTTCACTCCATCCCGACAAACTGAAGTCCTATCCTGGTTTCCAAAACTTGCACAAATTGACGTCTGGTACTATTACTTTTCACTACGATCTACCATACGATGATATAAAGGAATTTGTAGAGGAGGAGAAGAAAACTATTTTAAGTAAAGTCCCGGAGGATGTGATAAAAAGCAATGGAGTAAAGTGGGAGCATGTCGGATCTACTTCCATTAAAGGTGATCAACTTAGGAACGGGGTTGAAGGCTAATAAGATCTCAAATCAATTTGTTGATCTACTCTGTTACAGTTCAGTTTGCTAATTTTAAAGACTGATAACTGAATAGGCGCCTGCATTTTAAGATTAACACTTTATGCATTAGGAATTCGCAGCACTGAAGACAACATGCAAATAGCGTGAATTACTATTAGTGGTATTAGTCAAACGAGGAAATAAGTTAGATATACCGGCAGCCAGGGTTTGTTAAGCCAAATATCTCAGGTATGCCAGGCACAATATTTCCAGATTCCTTAATCCTTTTTGACTGCCTGCCGATTCCAAAACCTATTTTCACTGCCCTGATGGATTCAGGATTCTCGTTCGTCGGCTCCAGTTTTCATCACCAAGATGATATTTGGTTCATAAAGCAGGTTTAAACAGCTTCTTCGGTAAAACTAAATATAATTATCAAATAAATTAATTTATAACCATATTCATAAGTAGTTGCAAATGTTGCCATAACTAATAAACCACTAATAATAGGTCACATTACATTTCAGATAACTAGAGATGGATCTAGACTGGACAAACAATTCTTCATAATACACGTTACCCCAGCAACCTTAGGGCTATCAAGAGTTTTGGTTGAAACCAGAGACAGATGCAATGAAAATCAAACAGATTTTGAGACCTATAAGGTATTTTTGAAAATATCGGCTGGTTGTATCAAATTGTCACATGACTTTATATTCGGGTTGACATGATCATCAGTTATCGATATGGACGCTGACATTCATTTGACAAAAACAGTCTTGAAACCGCAAATTTTAATCCCCAGGAGGCAAAAGTGAAAGCAGCAAAACTCTTGATGGAAGAAAACGTTATCGGTTACAAGATTGAAAAAGGATCAAACAAGCTTTTTGCAGAGCTTAATGAAAATAATCCAAACTATTCTGTGCAGGGAAAGTAAACCTCAGAGCAGTATGACAAATCACCCGCGACAGGATGAAGGATAATTAATTTCAAACTAACATGTTTTAAAATTTTATATAAAGTTGATTAATGTGTCGTGTAGGATATATTTATGAGTCAATACTTCACATTGGAAGTTTCATCTTAGACTGATTTGGATTTCTATTTTCGCCACTGCGAAAATCCAAATTTTGATTTACTTTGGTTTGAAAAGTTGCTAATATATCAAAGTTATTTTTAATATGTATTTTAACATGTAATAATTTATCTACAAATTATAACAAAAATCGAACTGTTTGTCTTATTTATTAGCTTTTGAGATCCATTAAAAATGTGGAAAAGAGTCCTGAAACACCCTGTATAAACAGGAATGAGGGAAGCCCAGAAGTAACTGCCCAGTGGCCACACAGCAGATAGGAGTCGGCTATTTTGGCTGTATTTTAACCTAAACTTGTTGGCCCTTTTTGTGGAGTTGTTGTGTCTTGAAGATGTTTGTGTGTCGGAAGTTGCTGATTGGTTGAATCTTCAAAGGTAGGTTTATTAGTTGAGGATTATTTGTTTATTAGTTGAGGATTATTTGTTTACACAATGCTGCACAGTATTTGGTAATAGAATGTGTAATTAATATTACAGATAATCAAAACAATAATAACATCCCACACAATTAAACAAGAGTTTGTGAGTTCACATGATCAGGAGAAGATCAGTAATTTCCTAGCTCAAACATAAACCTAATTAAATCATTGTGTGTAAAGAATTTGGGGTAAAGATGACGTTAATTAAGTGTATGGGGTCACGCAGGCGTCGTGAATCAGGTGTGTCATGTTTACAAGCAATGCAAACATCGTAAACAGATGTATGACTTCTTCAGTTAACGTTAATCAGGTGTCGTTAATTAGGTTCATGACCTCCTACAGTAGGCGCTAATTAGGAGTTGCATGCTGACAACGAAATTTCACTGCTTAAACTACAGTATAAAAACCTTCCACCAGATTTACCGATATCCCGTTTATCCTCTGTTTGAAATTAAGTTGTTAAAATTTTGACTTCAAGCCGCATATCACAAATATGTACAGCATGATTCACGTGCATGAATTGACTTATTTGCTGTTTAATGAGGTCTTGTAGTTTAGATTATCTTGCCGTGCATGCAGTGAGAAAGTTATTGACTTGTTTTTTAAATTTATCCTTTAATTAGTTTCTCACGGGTCATAGTTTTTCGGTCAACTGCTATCTCGAAAGCCAGTTTCACAAAACCCCCAGATATACTGAGATTGGGTGTATCAAGCCGTATCTGACATGAAAATAAAATCAGCAGGAAATAAGCTTATTTCTGATACGGCACCAGTTTGTCGGGCACGTGGAGTGACTCAGTCACGAGTTGCCGTCACTTGATAGATAACGTGACCTATATGATCTTTAAAATACAGTACTCAATAAATATCAATAACCAAATTGTCACGTGACCAAAGTGCGCTGTCCAATAGCAGTTAGGTAAGCTGTCATGTGGCAACCACGAGAGTAACACGATGGTAGCAGCATGGCAGGATGCTCATTGGACAATGAACACTTTGTGTCGGAAGTAGATACAGTTTTTTGCCTATTTGATACCAGGTCAGGAGTTCTATAACTTACCATAGTACATATGTGTGTCGCGTATGTGAGCACAAAACTGTGCTCTTTGGTTCACCTTGCTTACTTTTCACTTCCCTTTATGTTTTGGATATGTATTCAACACAGATATTATTGAATTATTATCATATTATTATTATATACTGAGGCTCTGTTCTTTATTTCTTATAGTTTGCAGTCATAGTCTGTCTTCGTTTTAATTTTCTTTCTGTTGTAGTTGCATAAATGTATTTCAAGATCTTCTAAATTGATGCATTTTACATCTTGAGTCCCCGAGCATAGCTAAACTATTTTTCTGTTGTAAATGTACACGTTCTAAAAACCTAGAAACACACTAACAGCAAACCATTCTTAAATGGTAGATATTAGCTGTATGTGGGCAAAGTTGTTTTAAAATGCTTCTCCTACATAGCCGTAGCCAATAGCCATGTCATGTTGATCCTTAGATTAGTAAGAAATTGTACTAATAAATATATCAGAATGAGTCTGTGTGACGAGGAATACACCGTAGATCAACTCTACGATATTTCACTGCATCCCGACAAACTGAAGTCCTATCCTGGCTTCCAAAACTTGCACAAATTGACGTCTGGTACTATGAATTTTCACTACGATCTACCATACGACGATATAAAGGAATTTGTAGAGGAGGAGAGGAAAACTGTTTTAAGTAAAGTCCCGGAAGATGTGATAAAAAGCAATGGAGTAAAGTGGGAGCATGTTGGATCTACTTCCATTAAAGGTGATCAACTTAGGAACGGGGTTGAAGGCTAATAAGACCTCAAATCAATTGTTGATTTCAAAGACCCATAACTGAGTGAAGCCTGCAGTACTCTACTCATATAGAGTACATATATCAGTAGGCGCCTGCATTTTAAGATTAATACTTGATGCTTTCGCATGAATTGCTACAGTGATATTAGTGGAACTAAAAAAGAAGTTAGATAGTTTTAAACTAATTACAACACTACAAATCTATTACATTTATTGAGGGAGTTATAGAAGGAACATATTTAATGTAGTTTGAGGAGTCCTCACTTTTCTCACGTCCGACAATGGAGAGGCTAATATGCCTGCAGCCAGGGCGTTGTTTGTTAAGCCAAATATTTCAGGCATGCCAGGGACGATATTTCCAGATTCCTTAATCCTTTTTGACTGCCTACCGATTCCAAAACCTATTTTCACTGCCCTTATAGATTCAGGATTCTTGTTCGTCGGCTCCAGTCCTCATCACCAAGATGATATTTGGTTCATAAAGCAGGTTTAAACCGCTTCTTCGGTGCAACTAAATATAATTTATCAAATAAATTAATTTATAACTATCTAACATAAGTAGCTGCAAAGTGCAAATGTTGCTATTACAAGAGTATTATACCCAACATTGACCGGCGAACTGATAGCTACTTCAGAAGCAATGAAACTACAATCTTCTAGATAAAATGAGTCATAGTACTTTCAGCCGGAGCCATCATAAGTGACATAAATCTAAAAGATAGTATGGTTAGTTTCTAAATATAATAAACTCAAACTCTGAAAAGGAAACTGCCGTGAAATATGAAACATCAATAAAAGGACCTATTATTTAAAAAAAATAATTTATGGAAAGCCCCTCAGACAAAATAAAAATCAATTATGCAATAAAGGAATCTTAAAAGGGTTTGTACTATTCATTCCTGAGGGGCGGAGGGAATTTAAGGCATGTATATATCGGTGCTCCTTAACATCTAAACTACTAGGACTTGAATTTTCTAGGATACACACTGAAACACTATTGTTAAAATTTTCCTTCTGAGTCAGTCCATGCTCTATATGGAGGTGGAGTCCTACGCAGTTTGAGTCATCATCCGTGTCAACCTTTTGCCCACTGATGATCTTGTAGAATGCTCTTCTGTGTTCGCCAAACCTTACCCGTAGCATTCTGGTGGATTTGCCTACGTATGGTTTCTCACACAGTTTACATCTGATCAAATATATGATGTTGTAAGTGATGCATGTACCTGGTGCTGGTTTTACCCGTTTCCCATTGATGCTGATTTGTGTAGCACTATCAATAGACTCACACGTTGCACAGTTCTTCTTTCTACACGGCCTTGTTTGACCATGCTTATTCCCCAGAGCTATTTCTTTCACCTTAACCAACCGGCTTTTGAGGTTGCTTCCTGTTTTCTTGACAAATTGGAAGAACTTTTTGCCATTCTTCTTTTCTTCAAGGGTGTTACTCTGTTGTTTTGAGTCACTCAGGTTACAAAAACTTCTGGTCTTCTTTAAGTTCTCCTCATACTTTTTCACTGTGGTGACAATGTCAGAGTCACTTCCGCAGGTTGAGACAACCCTTATTGGTAGGATCTCTGGCTTCAGTGTGTTGTCCTTGGGAGGTCTTCGTTCAAGGTTTCTTTCGGAGTTGAGAACTTTTTTGCTAATGTTGTTCACCATTTTTGAGGGATAAGCAGCTGCCTTGAATGCTTGGCTTAATTCACTCAATCTGGTTTCCAGTCGTTCTTGTGAGTTGATTATTCTCCTGAGTCTGATACACTGGCTGTAAACTATTCCACTATAAATGTGGTTTGGATGTGCACTGCTAAAATGTAGATAGCTCCTTGAATCTGTTTCCTTGATATGGAGGTCAGTTTGTAAGTTTCCCTCAGGGTCGAAACAAAACTCGATATCTAGAAAAGCCACAGGCGTGCCAACTTCCTTCCATTGGGATTCGTCAATGAGTAGCCCATATTCTTTCAAGGATTTGTTTACATCGGAAATCCACTGGTCAAATTTCCTTTCAGTGCTGTAGAAGAAACCTGCACCATCGTCAATGTACCGTCTTACAGTCCTGACTCTCTTCATCATGTCAGTGTTACTGTAAACGCATTTGTTCATTACATAAAATACAGTTATGTTGGCCAACTGCACACACAGACTTCCACCTGTAGGCACTCCGTTCTTTTGGACGTACCACTTGTCTTCGAAGCATCCAATAGAGGATCTTAGACTGATATCAACGAGGTCGACCAGCCAATCACAGAGTGCTGGTGTCCAGTCTGGTCTGGTGGTATTCATTGCATGATGAACGGCTTCCTTGACAAGTTCAGGGTTTAATGAGTCGTAGAGAGCTTTGAAGTCGAAAGTGAAAGCTCGGAGGGCTCGTTTGTCTGTTTCAACTTCATTGCATACTTCAAGCCATCTCAGTGCGTCCGTTGAGTCAGTCAGTAAGTCTTCGCAATAGTCCTTTTCAAGATTTTTGAAGTACTCACTGGCCAAGAAGACATCACTCCTTTTTGCTATTCCTTCCTGTAGTGCAGTGACTAGTCTCACAGGGGGCTCTATGCCTGGCACAAGGTCTTTTCTCTTCAATTTGTGGATCTTCAAACTCGGGTAAAAGTAGGCTTTTCCTGGCTTGAAATGTGAAGAAGTGCTCTTTGCATTGGTCTTATCTTTCCCCTCTTTTGTGCTATCATTATCAGAAACACCCATGACACTTTTTGCAGTCATCGGATGGATAAAACCTTTCTCTTTACCTTCAACCCATTTGAGGAATAACTCATGGTGTAATGTTTGGGTGAGATCTTCCTTCAGTTCAGTATAGATATTCGGGTTTTGGAGCTTCTCAAGTGTCTTCTTCCTTAGTGTCTCTGGGTTGATAATGATCACTGCACCTCCTTTATCAGCTTGAACAACGGATAGTTTTCCCTCATTGTTCATGCACTCAAGCCATTTTAGGCCCTCAGTCTCTTCCTTTGACAAGTTCTTCTTTGTGTCGCCTCTTGTAGTTTTCTGAATGGTCAATCTCTGGTCAAGGTCCGCCTCCATACTCTTCACAATATCATTAACACTACTGTCATCTGATGACTGTGATGAATAGTATGATTTTTGGTAGAGTTTTGGTGGTATTTGGGGCAGATTCGGGGTTTCAAGGTGTAGGTACAAAGCCCAACCCTTTTCCAAGTACACACACAGCCCCGGGTGGGACAGGTTCATTCACAAGGATGACAACACTTCCGTCCTTTATGAGTCTTTTGGCTTCTTTCTCAGTTCGTCTTCTGTTTATCTGCCGTCGGTTCTTAAAATTCACACGCTTCTTATTTCCCTCAATGAGTTGAAGAGTTTTTAATGTTTTTCTTGGCCACCTCTTCCACTCAGTTTCCTCTTGTTGTTTGTAGAAATCAAGTTTGTTTTGGTGTTTCTCCTTGGTTCTCTTAACCTCAGAGGGGACTAACGGGATTTTTTCGTGTGCACCAGCCTTAAAAACAGAGGCCATGTGTTTGATTTCATTCAGTTTGTTTTTGATGGCCTCTCCTAACATCAGTGTCTCTAGTACAGAAAAATGTTTAAGTTTAGATGCATCAGGGATAGTAGGGGCTCCTTTAACCCGAAGGGATGGTGGTGGGTGTTTCAATTTCACGCAGTTTCTCAAGAATTTCAGTTTCATTTTCAGCAACTGAAGTTTCTGGAAGACTGTTTTTTCTCCTGTTTGAGAGTTCTCTAAGAGGTGGCTTTCATCATTTTGATTCACAATGGGTTGGGTCTTCCCATTGTCTAGAGAAAAATCGGGCTCCAGAACCATAAGCGCCAGGTTGTCCAAAACGGTTAAATCACAAGAGTATTATACCCAACATTGACCGGCGAACTGATAGCTACTTCAGAAGCAATGAAACTACAATCTTCTAGATAAAATGAGTCATAGTACTTTCAGCCGGAGCCATCATAAGTGACATAAATCTAAAAGATAGTATGGTTAGTTTCTAAATATAAACTCAAACTCTGAAAAGGAAACTGCCGTGAAATATGAAACATCAATAAAAGGACCAATTATTTTTAAAAAAATCATAATTTATGGAAAGCCCCTCAGACAAAATAAAAATCAATTATGCAATAAAGGAATCTTAAAAGGGTTTGCTATTACTAATAACCCACTAATAATAGGTCACATTATATTTCAGATAACTAGAGATGGGTCAAGACTGGACAAACAATTCTTTAAAATACACGTTACTCCAGCAACCTTAGGGCTATCAAGAGTTTTGGTTGAAACCAGAGACAGATGCAATGAAAATCAAACAGATTTTGAGACCTATAAGGTATTTTTGAAAATATCGGCAGGTTGCATCAAATTGTCCCATGACTTTATATGGGTTGACATGATCATCGCTTATCGATATGGACGCTGACATTCATTTGACAAAAACAGTCTTGAAACCGCAAATTTTAATCCCCAGGAGGCAAAAGTGAAAGCAGCAAAACACTTGAAGGAAGGAAACTCATTGGGTTACAAGAAGGTAAAAGGATCAAACAAGCTTTTTGCAGAGCTTAATGAAAATAATCCCAACTATTCCGTACAGGGAAAGTAAACCTCAGAGCAGTTTGACAAATCACCCGCGACAGGATGAAGGATAATTAATTTTAAGCTATCATGTTTTAAAATTTTATATAAAGTTGATTAATGTGTCGTGTAGGATATATTTATGAGTCAATACTTTACATTGGAAGTTTCATCTTAGATTGATTTGGATTTCTATTTTCGCCACTGCGAAAATCCAAATTTTGATTTACTTTGGTTTGAAAAGTTGCTAATATATCAAAGTTATTTTTAATATGTATTTTAACATGTAATAATTTATCTACAAATTATAACAAAAATCGAACTGTTTGTCTTATTTATTAGCTTTTGAGATCCATTAAAAATGTGGAAAAGAGTCCTGAAACACCCTGTATAAACAGGAATGAGGGAAGCCCAGAAGTAACTGCCCAGTGGCCACACAGCAGATAGGAGTCGGCTATTTTGACTGTATTTTAACCTAAACTTGTTGGCCTTTTTTTGAGGAGTTTATCCGAGTGAGCATTTAACCACAAACGTACAATTGGTATTTCATTTTGGGTTCTAGCCGATGTCAAGATGTAAAATTGTTCGGCACTATGTGAGTTTTATAGAGTAGCACAGAACTAAGCAAAGTAATTGGGAGACTTATTTTGGGAATTCCATAGAATAATTTCGGACAGCAGACTGTGCACTGCAGGGATCGAATCAAATTATATCAATTATAATGACGTAAATATCATTACGAGAAATCAAGAGTTCAAAAATTGCCCGCTCCTTCCGGCTTTATGCTTATGTAAACGGTCGCACTATAATCTAATATGCTGAACTGATTGTTGGGTTGTAATCGACTTTGAGCGGTAATCGACTTTGTCTGTGTTTACAGATGCAAGCTATATTTAAAGCCGCCATTTTAGTCATATAAATAACTAGCTTAATTCAGAGCATCACAATGCAACGTGCGCGAATATCTGATAATGCGTACGCGCCAAAATAGGGGTCCTTTTTACATTGAAATGTCTTTCTGTAATGGCGCGCAGAAGATGAAAGGCGCGCTGGAGGTTGAACACAGAATTCCACGTAATATGGCTGTAGAACTTCTTGTTCCAAGGCCTAACATTCTACTAGAAAACTCGATATTAACCTGGCACTTTCGGGAAGGAGAATATGAATATAAAATCACAAAATATGGCATTTTATAGATGTGGATACTGGTGGGGAGGTGAAGCATATTTGTTTTGACACGTGACAGCAATTCAGGGTTTTGATAGGTAAATTCTGGAAACTGGTTAACCACTGGCAGTCTGGCACGTTTCAGAAGAAATATGTTTCACTTCCTCACTAGTATCTATTAAGTAAGCCAACATTACCTGAACAGCAAGATATCCAACCACAGCAGTAGCAGCAGCGTACTTGCTCACTTTCTTGAACAAATAACCAGAGCAACTGAGGAAATTAACATGAATTAGCAATCTAGGTAAACTATAGGTAAAAATATAATATTAATCATAAGCTAAAATGTACTAATCTTTGTATTCTAAATGGGGAAAAGAAGAAACATTGTCAGTCAGTCGAAAAAAATTGTCAGTCAGGCTATATGGCAGCTTTGTAGATGTTGTGACAATGCTAGTGGTGGTCCCAGGCTTGCGACTGGAATTGAAAATGTGACGTTGTGACGCTGTTGTTGTTGATTTTCCACAAAAACCAGTACACAGTGAGACAGATTCAAACCTTATATTGTGACTGTTATCACGGTTTATATTAGTGCTGATTAATTAATTAATTGAAAGGCCCTTTAAAGGTCTGATCGGTGTATGGCTAGTCTTCACGAGTAGACGCGAATTGGATATTACTGATGAGCTTCACGCCAGTTTATTATTAACTTGTAATTAATTTAATGGGTAATTAAATCTCGTGAATAACAAAAATTATATACAATTTAAAAGCTATGTACCTCCGTCAGATTCTTTGCTAGCAGTTACAAAGTTGATAAGGATTATACATGTTTTTTAACTTACTATACAAATAATCGATTTGAGTAGTGATACTGAAATCGGACGATAAGGTTTGGATAAGGTTTGGACATTAGTAATTTTCCATTAGCCGTTCGTTTACTCATAGAGTAGCCGGGGGAAATCAGTAATTCCAATACTGAAACTTATAAGAAATCGAAAGTCGAAAGTAATATTTATGACTTACTATAGATCATTATTATATTTTAATACTAAAGACCTAACATAATTATTTCCACCAGAGTAACGATGCAACACAAGTAAGTAACCTATCTGAGCAGCAGTAGGTAACCTATCTGAGCAGCAGTAGGTAACCTATCTGAGCAGCAGTAGGTAACCTATCTGAGCAGCAGTAGGTAACCTATCTGAGCAGCAGTAGGTAACCTATCTGAGCAGCAGTAGGTAACCTATCGGAGCAGCAGTAGGTAACCTATCGGAGCAGCAGTAGGTAACCTATCGGAGCAGCAGTAGGTAACCTATCTGAGCAGCAGTAGGTAACCTATCTGAGCAGCAGTAGGTAACCTATCTGAGCAGCAGTAGGTAACCTATCTGAGCAGCAGTAGGTAACCTATATGTGCAGCAGTAGGTAACCTATCTGAGCAGCAGTAGGTAACCTATCTGAGCAGCAGTAGGTAACCTATCTGAGCAGCAGTAGGTAACCTATCTGAGCAGCAGTAGGTAACCTATCTGAGCAGCAGTAGGTAACCTATCTGAGCAGCAGTATGTAACCTATCGGAGCAGCAGTAGGTAACCTATCGGAGCAGCAGTAGGTAACCTATCTGAGCAGCAGTAGGTAACCTATATGTGCAGCAGTAGGTAACCTATCTGAGCAGCAGTAGGTAACCTATCTGAGCAGCAGTAGGTAACCTATCTGAGCAGCAGTAGGTAACCTATCTGAGCAGCAGTAGGTAACCTATCTGAGCAGTAGTAGGTAACCTATCTGAGCAGCAGTAGGTAACCTATCTGAGCAGCAGTAGGTAACCTATCTGAGCAGCAGTAGGTAACCTATCTGAGCAGCAGTAGGTAACCTATCTGAGCAGCAGTAGGTAACCTATCTGAGCAGCAGTAGGTAACCTATCTGAGCAGCAGTAGGTAACCTATATGTGCAGCAGTAGGTAACCTATATTAGCAGCAGTAGGTAACCTATCTGAGCAGCAGTAGGTAACCTATCTGAGCAGCAGTATGTAACCTATCGGAGCAGCAGTAGGTAACCTATCGGAGCAGCAGTAGGTAACCTATCTGAGCAGCAGTAGGTAACCTATCTGAGCAGCAGTAGGTAACCTATCTGAGCAGCAGTAGGTAACCTATCTGAGCAGCAGTAGGTAACCTATCTGAGCAGCAGTAGGTAACCTATCTGAGCAGCAGTAGGTAACCTATCTGAGCAGCAGTAGGTAACCTATCTGAGCAGCAGTAGGTAACCTATCTGAGCAGCAGTAGGTAACCTATCTGAGCAGCAGTAGGTAACCTATCGGAGCAGCAGTAGGTAACCTATCTGAGCAGCAGTATGTAACCTATCGGAGCAGCAGTAGGTAACCTATCTGAGCAGCAGTAGGTAACCTATCTGAGCAGCAGTAGGTAACCTATCGGAGCAGCAGTAGGTAACCTATCGGAGCAGCAGTAGGTAACCTATCTGAGCAGCAGTAGGTAACCTATCTGAGCAGCATTAGGTATCCTATATGAGCAGCAGTAGGTAACCTATCGGAGCAGCAGTAGGTAAACTATCTGAGCAGCAGTAGGTAACCTATCTGAGCAGCAGTAGGTAACCTATCTGAGCAGCAGTAGGTAACCTATCTGAGCAGCAGTAGGTAACCTATCTGAGCAGCAGTAGGTAACCTATCGGAGCAGCAGTAGGTAACCTATCTGAGCAGCAGTAGGTAACCTACCTGAGCAGCAGTAGGTAACCTATCTGAGCAGCAGTAGGTAACCTATCGGAGCAGCAGTAGGTAACCTATCTGAGCAGCAGTAGGTAACCTATCTGAGCAGCAGTATGTAACCTATCGGAGCAGCAGTAGGTAACCTATCTGAGCAGCAGTAGGTAACCTATCTGAGCAGCAGTAGGTAACCTATCTGAGCAGCAGTAGGTAACCTATCTGAGCAGCAGTAGGTAACCTATCTGAGCAGCAGTAGGTAACCTATCTGAGCAGCAGTAGGTAACCTATCTGAGCAGCAGTAGGTAACCTATCTGAGCAGCAGTAGGTAACCTATCTGAGCACTAGTACTCCATCTAACTACCCTAAATTAATTTAACCGTAATTTGATTTAGCAAGTGACAAAACTTAAATGAATATGGATCTCTTAATAGCATTTTGGACTTGAGCCCAAAATGACTTAACAAATGATCAACAATATAAACTGGAAATGGAGTACATATGTTAACCATGTTGATAACTCTGTGATCAAGGTAAGGGAATACCCACTACTCTATTGATCGATGTGAAAGAGCTATGAAGTCCCTTTGCCTAAAAACCAATGACAGACATACCCTTAATTGTATTATTGTATATCTTAATTTTATAAATGAAAGATAGTTCGGTAATTTCCCTATGTTCTAAATTCCAAAGTCAGGGATGACCCTCGATCAGTCAGTTATCACAACAACTGATATATAAGTTAGAAGAAAATTAAAGCACACGAATTTTATTTTAAATAACTATGTCATATTTCATGGATTTAAACAATAAAAGGTTAAGGACTAAAGTAAATAAAGTAAATCACAGTGTGAAAATTCACATACATTCCTGCTAGTGCCCCCGTGGCAATCTCCTGCTGTGTTGGTTTCGACTCTTTCCCCATGATTTATCTACGGAAGTTAAATTTTTATGATATTACATGGATTGCTAGAGATGAATAAAAAACTAAAATAAATGCTGAAAACATAAAAATCATATATTATTTGAAAGGATCTGAAACAAAAACCTTGTTGTATCAACTATATATGTTTTCATAACCCCCTAAATAAAAATAAATGAAATGGAAACAATAAATCAGCCTGATTTATTAGAAACGTACCACCACTGGTAAAGTTATATCAAGTTATATCATTATACAGCCCAAAGAATATTCTAGAATTTGTTACATTACACCACAGTGGTCATAGAGCCTAAAGGAGAGCCCTTTGTTGTGTTAATCTTGATGGATGTGTTGCTGTTTAGCAACTTTGACATGTACTAAGTACTTGTGCAATGTGCCCACACAAAGGCTTCAGGGTAATGAATTTCCACTGAGATTCTTTTTAGTATCGATTGTTACGATCAACTTGAAAATGTTCACACCATAGAAATATATTCAAAAGTGTAGGTACACTATTATTGAAAACGTAGGATTATTGAGAACGTAGGCTAAATCAAGTTCACACAATCGAATAAGATTGAACGGCATGAAGCCAACAAGGCTAAGGGGTTCCCAGACAAAGTTTTCCTCTGGTATCCCTGGCAGCAATCAGTACAAAGCGAAATAAAATGCTAGGTTATAACAAAACCCAATAAATGCAAATACTCTTGTCCTCTCCTGACAGAAAACCTTAACACAATTTGTCTAATGCCTCTATTTACTAACAATGCAGGTGGTGTCAGCCACTTTCATTGATAATTGTGACGTTCTAGTTCAAGAAGTCTAAGCTTAATGCATAGTTGCTCATGGCTCGATCAAAATGATCGTTCAAAGATTAGTTTCATACAACGAATAATCATGTCAAGCCGATTTTATAGAAAGTTTCCTAATCTTTACACTATCAGTTCTATGAAGGTAGTTCACACTCTATGGACAAATACAAACACAAATGTTTAAGATGCTAGTTATAAAATAACTTTAAAAGTATGAAACCTCTATTTCTAAAACTTGGATTGTGCTGAAAAAGAACCCAAGTTTTAGAAATAAAACTTGGGTTCCAGCGAAGGTACAAAAAGCTTCATAAGTTGAATATTTCGATCAATAGCATGCTTGTGACGAATGATCACAGCACCAAAAAACGGAAGGAGGTTTAATTCTTAGCTCTACAATTGTTATCGCTGTGGAAGAATCAGTAGATAACAAAAGCAAGCTTATGCACTAGAGTTGTTAGAAGTATTTTGTAGGAATTACGTAGCGCTCGATTCAGTAAGCATTCGCGATTAACTCCATGGTATAACATTGCGCGGCGTAAAGTTTTTTGTTGGTCATAGTTTTAAAATATGGATTGTGTGTCGTAACTAAATTTCAAATTAACGCCAATATATGATAAGTTATTTGTATGTTAATAGTTAAGTTATTTTGAATACACTAATTATATTTTATATCAGAAGACCAAATAAAAAGATGGACCATGGAAGACTGAAGACGTCACCGCTTCGACGCGCCGCGCGCATTATTATGTTAGCTGTGTGCTGTTCGCTTCTAATAAGCAGTTTTGACAATTATAGGATCATAGTTCCAATTGATTGACGATGTCAATCCGTCGAGATCGTTGCTTTGCTTCGACGACGGTGGACGGATTCGATGCGAAGCAAGAATGCTAGTTTGCGCGGCGCGTCGAAGCGGCGAAGTCCTCCAAAGTTCCAATTTTAACAACTAGCTTATAACTGATAAAAAGGTTGGCAATTTGGCATCATTAATCAAAAAGCTTTGTGCCAGCTAGATCGGCTAGATCGGCGAGATGCGCTACTGTGCCGCGCCGAGCTGCCATGAATTGACATCGTCAATTAAAGGTTCATGAGGCTATACAATTACAAATAATCACATTGCACATTATATATAAATTAAATTCAATTTTAAAATATTAGCTATCAGGGATTTAAATATATTGTATTCATACCACGAGCAAGCAACAATTAGTAATTATACGGTGATTTTCCACTTTACTTATAATATGGACTCATAATTGCACAATTAAGAAGCAACTATAGTTATGTATGGTATAAAATCACTTTTGAATTTTGGCCGTAAATATGCAACGATGATACGACAGTACAATAAATATAATTAAACAATGAAATTTTGATTAAATCTATTAATCTATAAATATGATTGGGCGTTTTGTTTTACTAAAATCGTTGTTTTATTAGTTATTTTATATTATAGTTATATATTTAAAAATAGTAATATGTCACATAAATATGAAGTAAAGTGCAATGTGTAAACAATAAACTTGCTGTACGCATAAAATAATTTTACTGAATGTCACCAATTTATTTTCTGTTCCGCCGAATCTTTTGGAAATTAACTACTACTATGTGAAAGTCTGAGTACCCGGGCGACAATATCTCAGATTCATTTATGCTCTATCCAATGAAATATATTTCGTCAATCTCAGTTCGATTATATCAACTGCTTTGCCCGTATTTGACGCCGCGCACGCTGAGTAAAGAGAACAAGCGCAAATCGGCTTAAATTTTTTCGCGTTGGATAAACGTGCTCATCACATGGCTCACGTGAATCAAAATTTTAGGGGCGTTTTCGACCGGAAATCGGTTTTTAGACTACTATGACCCGATCTAAAAGTGTTATAGGTGATAGGATATGGTCTAAAACATATCTCGAGAAAATCCTCGAAAATTGGGCGTTTTTTGGCCCCATTACCATCTATGGGCATTGTCTTTTCATGGTTCGGAAGTAGTGACGTTAGGTCACGCGCCTCTACGTAGTGGTCATATGGCCGTTTCTCGCCTGTGACGTAACGCAATTGAATCTATTGAAACGCCGCGCCTGATTTGAACAGCCAATCAGAAAGGGCGATGAGTTCACATCTAAATATAGAGTGGGAGAGCACATAACGATTCATATATACAAGACGCAGACTCAGCAATTGCTTACTTTTCGAACCTGTGCTATCTTACGTATCGCTTGAAGTTGATTATTAGTTTTTAGTATTCTTGTGTGTTGAGTCATATCAACCAAACTGAACAGCAAAACCCTGAAACGCAAAATGATGGAAACCATGTCTCTTAATCCGGAACAGTTTTACAAACCTGAAAAGAAGGACGAGAAACCTCAGCTGAAACTCAACTTGAATCTCGGCATGGATGATCGATGGAACTCTGTGCATCTTTCATCTCCCGACCTCAAAAAGATCGCTATCAATACACCTGAGCTAGAGAAGATGGCATTCAACAGCTTGAACAACTACAGCACCTCAATGCCTCCCCCGTATTCTTCACATCACGATGATGCGCCAGTCCAAGGACCCACCCTTGTCGAAGAAGACCCAGATCAAGTTTCCAGAGGATTCATCGCCGCTCTCAGAGACATTCACAACCAACACGATTTCAAATCTGAGACCTTCAACATCCCAGCTACAGTTGCTGGCCCCGCTGTCTCCTACGCCGGAGAAAACCCTTACTCCAAACCTCAGATCCCAGAGTGCTCGCAGAGCTGGCCCAACTTCTCAGTTCCAGTGTCTAACTACAACAGCTACACCCAGCTCCACCAGCCCCAGTACATCTCCAGCCAGCCTTCCTACATGCCCGAACAGCTGCCTCAGTACGATCTGCCCGAGTCAAAGCTTGACTCCTTTATCCCTGACCCATCCCAGATCGACAAGCTCAACCTGACGACTGCCCAGAAGCTGAACATCTACACCCAGATTCCAATACACGAGGTTGCAGATCCAGAGCTTCAGGAGCGACTGAAGAGTGAGAGAAAGAAGATGAGGAACAGGATCGCAGCCAGCAAGTGCAGAAAGAGGAAGCTCCAGAAAGAAGCTGAACTCGAGGACAAAGTGAAGATTCTGAAGAAGAAGAACGGTGATCTCTCGACCCAACTACAGGGATTGAGGGAAGAAGTTAAAGGATTGAAAGTAAAGATTATGTCCCACGTTCATGCTGGGTGCAACATAAAGCCCTTCTCTCTGAACGTAACGACGACAGACAGTGAAATGCCGCCCACCTCACAGCGTACCCTCAATAGTATGGTCGGAGTGACCACCCCAGTCGGCAACGGAGCCCTACCTATCGGACATTCAGCGGCAACGACGCCCGTTGTCAGCTTACCTAGCATGCATCTGGTGTAATGTTTTAACGTGATTTTAATTTATTACTGTACCAGCCTCTGTGATGGGAGGTTGAATTAACACTGAATAGGTGCATTCTGTTGCCATGGTGGCACCTGCTTGTCGTCATGGTAACCCAGTTTTCATGCTGAACAAAGAGAAAGGGACTAATATCACGCGGTCTGAAATATTTGCTTTATATTGTGAGCGCTCGAGACGTGTTGTACTCTCTATTTTTAATTTTGTAGATTTGTGATGCTAAACAAATGGTACCCTCTCGAACTCCAAATATAATATATGATATATATGTCGGCTCTGTGAAGAGCAGCTTGGCTATTCCAGAATGATAAACCTTGAACGATTTCCTTTGTCAGTTATTTTTGAAATCGATCTTTTCCTCGAGCTTGTCTCCATGGCAACTCGTACATCTGGAATAGTAGGCTGTCTTACAACTGATTATAATGCAGTGGTGGTAAGATGTTGAAGCCACTTTGATCTTGATATACATATCTTCATGAAGGAAGAATTACATTGATTTAGAACCATTTTCCAGATTTGAGGACAGTCCCGGACCCAGAATATTAATTACTGATTTGCAACTATTTGTACTATTTGAACAGATTTGTGTACATTTATCGGCTGATTGTTATTTTTGAGAAAAATTTTTGGTTGAAAGTAAGACGATATATTTTGATCATAATTTTTGCCATTATAAAATTTCGAATTTCGAATTGAGAGAATGAAATATCACGTAGCACGTGTGTAAGTGTCTGTGTGTTTGTGAGTGTGTTTGAGTGTGAGTGGTAATCTTGTTTTCCCCGTGTTTTGTGTGTGTTTGCAAACAAAAACTCCCAAGTAAAGCTGCACAGTGCCCGAGTCACAATTATTACACAACACGTTTTCTTTCCGAGCTCTCGTCATTACGACACATTCCATCGCTAATCAAATCATTTCGTCCCTCTGAATATTGTGACCTGGTGCTACCCGGGCACTGTAATCCCCTGCCGGCCTCCCGGCAAACAAAGCATAAAACATATTCCGGCATGCTCCTGGGATTGTTTAATCCCACGACGGAGCACTAAACTTACAAGAGGTAGGGGCTATTCTGCTCCTACTGATCACCCGTTATTATAGCCTGAAATCCTGTTAGCTCCGTTTTTAAAGATTTGCTCGACTACAGCTCCCCATGGGACACATGATTGGATTTTGCAGCTCGGAATCAGGCTATATAAGGGATTAAACTTCTGCATTGTGATTTATGTGGTTGTAGAAAAAAAAAACATGCCACTGCTGCCTAGCACCCTAAATAATAAAGCTTGTAACTAAAGCTGCAGCATTTAACAATTCGCTGCAACATTATAGCTGAGCGAATTTGTATGAGGGATTCTGTGCCGCTCTAATAAAAACAAACATTTTTGTCTGTTGAAGTGTGTGTGTGTGTTGTATTGTGAAGTTTGACCCAACAAAAATATTGTGTGAGCTGCCTGCTACGCTGAAAAATAGTTAAAATGTCACCAGCTTTTGTATTCTATCCAGCTGAAAATTATGATCAACAAAACGTTCCTATATTTTTATATTACGTCGATGTTTTCTACACATTATGCCAGATTTTTTGAAGTGCACCCATGCATAATTACGATTTAAATACCCATTGCTCATGCTATCCGCACAGTGCCATATTTTTTAATTTTGACTAAAAAATAAGCAAGCTGTATTTACTTGTTATGTTAATTTAACCGCACCTTTCAAGACATTCTCAAAATATATTTTACGCATTTTGATTTCTTCATATGGCTAAGAAAAATGCTGAGAGCTTATTAAAGCTGTTATTGTTAACATGTATTTATGGTTAAAGATGTTATTTGAATTTGTGATTTTTACTCCATGATATGTGATGATAATGATATGTTGTGTACTTTTTTTTGAGGAAAACGGCAGTTTCTAATATATTTTTACGAAAAAAAACTGATTATCAGTTCTGAAAAAACAAATCCGCATGATGCTCCCACCATGAAATATTATGAACAGTTACTTTCTGTGCCTAGCAGTATCTTTTTCCGATCTGAACGTTTCCCGGAAGTATCTTGCAATGTTTTTTATCGTGGGCTTATAATAACCATGAGTGACTTACAGGAATATTGTGTGAATATATTAGACGGAATATTTTGACAGAAAAATTACATTGTTACCATATATTATGTGCTGGAACACTTGTGACATTTAACATGCTGTGTATTCTTTTGTTCTTAACTTACTCAAATACAAGTACCGAAAACACAAATCGGATCATAACGAAATTATCTACCCTTTAATTATTTCAATTATAACTCTCTTAAATAATGTACTCTCCACCCACACACACACACACATACAGAAACGAGTTCTGAGGGCATATAGCATGTATCACATACATAACGTAACATATATGTTGAAATATGTCATCACACTGTAGTCAGTAAGCAAATAAGTCCTTGAGGTACTGGCCGAGGTTGATAAGGTGTTAACACGGTAACCCTGTAACCCAGTAGCCCAGTAGCCCTGTCATGTAATATGTACATGTAACCGGAATGTTCTCGAACAAATCCGTGTTAACAGAGCAAAAATCTCTCCAGATACAACAAAAATCGGCAGAAACTTCGGCAGAAAACCACCATCTTCACAGCTCACACACTGCGGTCGATATGTACATTCATCGTGGGTGCCTGTGAAATTTATGACAAACAATTTGTGTATATGAGATCGTGTATATCGTTGATCAAAACATTAGTGCAATTTACTCCTCAAGTACATGTGTATAATTGAGTGTATACTTGGTGCTCGCTCTCCGGTGTGTATCTGCGGGCCGGTCACTGTTAACCCACATCTAGTACTCACATTTCTCTCTCTCTCTCATCTCTCTCTCTCTCCAATACGGCCTAGCTATTTTCAATTACCTTTCCCTGTTCCAGTTCGGTCCGGAGTATTTATGCCCCAGTAACCACATCAGCTGGTCTATTTGTAGTGGGCCGGGTTTCTTTAATTACACTCACACACACACACAGTAAGGCACGTACCGCTTTTACACGAGTCATGTGGCGGCCATTATTTGTTCAGATCAGCAGCACCTTGTTGCTGTCCGGCACAAATAGTGGAGGAGAGAGAGAGAGAGAGAGAGAGAGAGAGAGAAAGAGGAGGGTTGTTGTGCTTTTCCTGGATAAAATTGAGCAGCTAATAACAGGTACTAATTGTGTGACAGTACAAAGTGAGGCCGGCACTAGTTTGGTAGAGGTGTGGTAGTAGTGTGTCACTAAGTGTGGGGGGGTGAAGGTGCAAGGAAGGGACAGGGCCAGTAACCTAATTAGCCCTTCACCCAGTGGTTGAGTTAGCCTTGTTGTTTTCTGCCCGAGACAGCCAGTACCCTACACGTGCAACTCCTCCACAGCACATGTCATGAAGCTCGCCGCACGTGCATTATTTCTCTCCTATCTCCCAACTAAAAGTTCGGGTAATTAATCTGAATCCGATCTGCAACCGACAGCCTGGACACGTTTTCTCAGGTTTATCTTTTAAACCTTGCAAATCTCGCCCGCAAAACCAGTCAGGGCGTGTTCCTTTCAATAAACAAGTCCCTGACAAATGGAACACCGTATTATTATTCTGTCTTTTTTACATCATCTTGTGGACCTCAAAATGCAATTTCTCAGCTTCCAGAACTTTCCTAATAAAATTACATCCAGCTGCTTCTCGGGGCATTTATTTAAAACCAACAGCTCCCGGTAATGTGTACAAAGATAGCAGTTTCAGCTTGTCGTGATGCTATTTATAGTTACACACTATTTATATTATAACACACGGTCGTCTGCCGTAGCCTCATGTTTAGTTCGATGCATCATATTGTATTTGTATGGACTATTCTAGAATATTCCACTGAAATATTCCAGAAAATGAACGTCTTCGATACATTATCCTTTGGAAATTAATCTAAATTTTGATAATATCAATAAGGGGTCCCTCTCAAACATAATTCATAATAAATCTTTGTTCGTGAGCGACAATTAATGATATTAGAGTAGGAAACACCTGGCCGAGCTGTTCCGATTGGCTTTCGTCAGACAACAGAGCTCTCTGATTGGCTGCCGATACCATAGTTTCCGGCTTTAGTCAGGTGGCCATCACGTGCCTTGTTAATTGGTAATATACAGTTATTTAATTCGAGTCAGCTGACACGTCCTCTCATACAAACTATCACTTGTTATTCTACATATATACCGGGGTTCAGGTGAAAAGTGCCACAAACTTTAGGTCTAATTTTTAATACGTCTAGGAAATGAGAATTTTGAAATTATCACTATTAATAATTTACTGAAAGTGATAGTCGGCATGTGTGTTCAAATGGTTAGGCATGATCCAATTAATAAGATGGAATTAGGATAAAATTAACCATCATGAGGATTTAGGCTCCCCTCGCCACGTGTATAAAATGTACTGCAGCACTGAGCACAGTTTTGTACATCAGTTCAATATTGTAGATAATGGTATTGAAGATACTTTAGATTACTGCTGCAATAAGGACATTCTGGGAGTCATTAATACCCCGATGGAGAGTAACTGCAAGTTCAGTGATTAATGAGCAGTTAAAAGAAACACCCTTTAATTTTACCCCAAATTCTCCGCACAATTCTCCCACAAATTCCCCGATAATTCCCCAATAAATTCGCTGAGAACATCTATATTAGAATCAAGTTAAACTCACCGTAACACCCCAGCTACTCAACCCCTTATTTAAGGTAAATACAGCCCAGGAACAAGATTCCAGTTAATGTGAGGTGGTTGGTTCCGGGCTGGTTCCACTAGATCATCTCTGTGAGAGTTGTTGGTGGCAGGAGGCACTGTGTCGCTGATCTGCGGGGCAGATGGCTTCTCTAAACTTAAATCACTATATTTTTGTTTGATCACCCTGACGCAAATCGTAAGGCGAGTAGGACCTTGTTAATTTCATGGAGGACTAAATCTTGTTCAATCTTCTGGAGGAGTTAGATCACGAGGTACGGGCCCTCTTTTTCTGGATAAAGTTTATCGATAAGATTTGATGTCTACGACTTTGCAGATCTTTATTTTTATTGGAGTGAGATCACGGTAAATAGAGACGGAGTTCTTATCTTTTAAATGTTCAAGAAGATAAGATCACCGAGCTTATTGTGCGGAAAGTTAATAATAAAGATAAAGATCATCATCATTCATCTTAAACACCTGAGATTCAGCCTTTTTGCAGCCTTGAAAGCGATAGCTCCTCCTGCAAAATTACAGAAGGATCCAAGGAGTAGAACCTCTTGCAGTAGCATTTATCACATACAACTTATCTTCATTGTAGAGCGATGCTTCATTGAGAACACAACACTTTAAAACCATGTTCCATGACTTAATTTCCAAAAGTTTTAAACCACTCCATCACACAAAGCATTACCATGCACACTACACAGTACATTACACACTACTCACTGTACATTGTATTAGTAGGTACTACAAGTCTGGATTATTAATAGATCTATTGGTAGATCTTCCGGGTATAGACTTATATTTACTGTAATGGTGTAGCGAGAATTGTGTCGTACTCCGATACTGCCCGTACTATTAAGATGCCGGATGCAGGGTCTGCGGATACCGGCACACTCTATAACATCGTCATGTTCCTCTGATTTCATAATCTAGAGCTACACAAGTGTGCAGATATGAGCTGTGTGAAGTCTAGGTTACTGATACTGTGCTCAGTATTCTTCTAAACCTCCTAATAAACCACCCTAATTCACCCATAATATGCCTCATAATACACCGCTACAGTCCATTAAATAGTCCCTATTGTTAGAGAATTTGCCAGAGTTTTGGCATTGTTTAAACGCAGAGAACAGCCCAGAACATTGTTAGGATAGCCGGGAACATAGTGGGCCCAAGATGAGGTAATCCAGACAGTTGCCTCCAGGCTAGCTCCACTGTCTGCCCACAAACTGTAACAATCGAGTTCTCATCCCCAGCCTGTCTACGCTACAGTCTAAATAGACTGGTAACTTCAGTGCTCTGTTCCCGTCCATATCTTCTGGAATATTGCTCTGATGGAGAGTAGAAACCTCCAGGCTTACTCTTACTGTCTACCTAAAAACTGCAACATCCGGATCCTTATGATCTGGCTAAGACAGACCACTAAGTGAAGACAGTGGGCGTCTTCTTCATGATCTGTCTTCACTGTAGACTCAGTTGTCTGGTAGCTTCACCCCTCTAGCTTCGTATCTCTGCTAGCACATGCAGGTGGGTAGATCTGGATACCGGTGGGATGGTTATTAACCAATCAAAACCCTGATTACCTACCACGTGTCAGAGCAAATCAGGTCCACTTTCCCGCCGGAATCCAGATCTAACCCTTTACCTCTACCCTCTACTATGTACCATGTTAGTGCTGTCTGTACTGTACATCTAGCCACAATGTTACAATACTCCTGTGTGTTGTGTGTGAATGGAGGGCACATTGTATCAGGTGATGTCTTGTTAATACGATAATGAGAGAGCTAATTGCTTTGGATCGTGGGAACGAGGCATCAACCACCACAGATTGTGTGCAGCTCACCAGACCAAAAGTATATTTAGGGAAACTTTTTTTGGCTGGCAAATTATATGAGATTAGACTGAGGAGTGATGAGGAGGTGTTAGCCCTGTTTCTGAGAGTTTGTTTCAGATATTTCGAGAAGAGTAATATTGGTAATTTATCGTGCGAAGAGTACAAGCGATATCTGAAATCTAAATCGTTCTTAATAGAGCTTTTAAATTGAGCTGAACGTCAGACCAAGACAGCAATTACAGTAATTATTTGAAATTAACGGTAGATCATAACTAGGGTAGAGTGCAGTTCTAACGGTCATTATCCTGTCCAAACTTGAACGCTAATTGGATAACTGGCCCAACCAGATCCGGGGTAGAAGGGTGGACTTTTGAGATTCACAATATTAGTAACAGCAGGTTCTGCTAAAATGGGCGTAGCTGGAATTTTCCCGAATTAGAATTTCTAGAATTTCATTGCCAAGAATTCGGTAAAATATGTAGGAAGCTTGTTATCCACCCTTGACGAATCTAGACAGTCTTGTAAGTGGGGGTGTTTTTTCTCAAAGAGCTATTGAGATCATTAGACGAATAGTAAAAACTGGGCCCAGGCATTGCCCCGCACAAAGATGATGCGTACTGTAGGGCGTTGGTCTTCTA